GTTTTCAGGAATCTCAGGGGAGGGAGAGCTCTTACGGTTAGCAGAGTAGGTCGCATGGGTCGTGGAGTAACTAGTGCATGGTACTGACATCAGTCTGGCTGACCCAGTCAGTGAGGAAAACAGGCTACAACTTCAAGTTCACGATGTTCAGGTTGTACCATAGTGATCCATGCAAATGAGCCCCCTGATTAGTAACTTATTTGCTGTGAGCATCCTGACCAGTGTTTCTTTGACATGTTGTTATGAATCAAGCCATTCATATAATTCAATTCAGTTGTTTTGGTGAAAATAATGCAGGCCAATCTACACATTATTTACTCATCACTGAATAAATATATTACCAGATATACTAATCTAATTGTAATACCAACAAGTGTAATCCTGCTGGTGTGTGTTTAAGTCAGTTCAGTTATATCCTTTACTAAGGCACACAAAAGCTATTTGGACTCTAATAGCACCCCCTTGTGGAGAATCTTTAGCCTGCTATATGAGTGTGAGTCATAAATGAATTTATCCAATGTATTTGTGTCCAAAACCTTTCTTACGTTCATTAAAACATTCCAGTGTTTATTTCACATACACACACAGTCCAGAGTGCCGTTTTACTATTGTTTACACCCACTTTCTTACAGATTAGGGGGGAAAAGCCTTGTATCATTAGCATTTTGTCCCTATCATGCAGCTGTGTTTTTCATACTTGAAAAGGTGCTTGCAGGCATGCGATTAACGTCCCTCACTTTCATCACTGGAAAGTTTTGTTCAAGTCTTTGTTCAGTGCCAATAATCACTCAGCACACTTTGGATTTCTTTCTTTCATTCGAGTCATTTTCCATCCTAGCTTTTCTTGGACAGAAAGAAGGTCTTCTTGGACGGCCAAAAGGTTTCTAATGGCAGTCTGCTGTCCCCTTTCGGCATGTCCTACAGCACACGCTCCTTAAATAACAAAGAGAGAGAGGGTGGCGGTGTATCTTATTGAGTTTTCAGAGCACAGTAGTTCTGCTCAAAAGCATTCCCTCTGTGTAAGCAGCTAGGCTCTTTTTCATTCGACTTGACGTTGTCAAAACAGACCAAAGCTATTCAGTTTCAAAAATGTGCTTGTACTAGTTGGGGAAAAAACTGCCAACTGAGGGTTTCCCTCAAGGATGTGCTGATGCCGGCAGCTGACCAAATAAAGCTTGGCCTCTGGGAAAGAGGGAAATGAAGGAAAGCTGCAGAGTAGGGGCAGCACAGACCTCCACCCAGACCAGCTTTTCAGCAGGTAGCTTTTAGCCTGGATGTTGAGTGCATTTTTGACAATGAATGGTATGAAAGCCATTTAGTGGGAGTGTAACAGTAGACTCAGCTCAGAGGAGTGATTTGGCGATTGGTGCTGATTATTTGCTAACTTTAGTGTTGTTCTTCTATTGTGCTTCAGATGACAAATAATGTAATATCTGCTCACTACGATGCATTGTCACAGTTTTGCATTGTGATGTCACAATGCAGTATTACACCCCTATCATTTATGTGTAGCACTGTAGTGTATATGCCAGTGCAATCATAGTCATTAATTGGACCATACATTTGTATGTTATTTCTGCCTTTAAGGTAGTTGAAAGATACAGTTCGGACTAAGACTTTGTATCAAAATTCAATGGTTTTATGGTAAAGACTGAATCACTTCAGTACAACGGAGTATCAAAAAGTGCAGTGTCATTTAACTCTAAATTTAAGTACTCAAGCAGTCGCTCTTACCACATCACTGAGCCAGTAGGCATGGTTGGTCGGTAGGTTGTGGATGATTGGCTGTGTAAATTGCATTCTGTAAGCTTATTATTATTGTCAGCAGTCTTGATCAGTTATGGTCAGTAAATATACCCACTTCCAGTACCTCACACTCTTTTCTGTTTTAAGCCACACCCACTCATTTTTGTAATTAAAAAGACCTGAGCCTAAACTTGGCCCTAATCCTACCCCTGACCCTAATATTGGTGAGAATGAAGTCTCACTAGATCGGTTGTTCACAGTTTAAATATCTGTAGGGAGTCTGTAGAGGCCTATCTGAATAAAGTGGGAGCGAAACTTCTTCTGTTATAGATTATTTTAAAATTTTTAGAAATTGTCTTGATTTCTCCCTTAAACAGTTTCACGAGGAGCCTCCTGAGAAGCAGGACTGATGGACATACACAAATGCTGAGACCTTGCTGTTACTGAAAATATCTTGGCAGTATTTTTTTTTTCCTCATTTTGTTGAATTTATTTATTTATTTTTTTAGTTTTTAATAAATTGTGTATATATACGCATCAACACATTTCATTTTAATTTGAGCATAAGCCTTTATGTCTAAGATAAAAAAGTATGTTCATTTAGATCTATCTAAACCTGGTATTGTAACAGAGATTTTAAAATATGCATTGTCATATAAACAGTCAGATAAGTTTCAATTGATTTTAATAAAATAAGTTATGTAAGTTTAATCGAGTAGTCATGATAGCCCCAAAACTAGCGTGCCTCTTGTCTGCTGGAAGCTCCTAGATAATGTCTGTTGATCAGTGGAATCGCATGAGTGGCTGTATTTTGGAGAGAAAATGAAGCGTGTCACAGCTCTTGCCCCCCGGCGTTCATTGGGGAGCTGGACACACAAAGCACTCTGTGTTAGATGTTGAGATTTTCGTCAGCTCTCCCACCCAGCCTGTAGAGTTAAATGCTTTAATTCAGAGCCTTCTACCTAAGCATTTCAGTGCATAATTGAGGCTACCAAGAACACAGGAAGTGACATTCAGCCGTGCTCTCTGCGTGACCCGTACCATTGTAATCAGAGTTTTCACAGCAGCAAGGCTGTAAGCCTGGCATTGAATTTCCTAAAACAGTGAAGAGAGATGTGCTGGTGGGGTATCGGGGGAGACCGCTGCAAATTACATTAGCAGACCGCTGAATACAAACACTGCAGGCTTTACTTGTTTAGTGTCGCAGTGGGTTATGATTACAGCTGGGTTTTGAAATTGAATACCAGTTTTTTTTTCTGTCTTCTTTGCATGAGGGCTGTGAGAGTAATGGCCTAGTAGAACACCCATCATCTGCATTCCTGTTTCAGTTTGAATAGGAAGCATTAAACATGAAGGGAAAAAAATAAAAGAAAGTACAAAGCAAGAGGAAAGGAAATTGAATTTTGTCTAAATTTCAAAGATTAAATGCGCGCAGCAAGTCTCAAAGTGATCTTCAATTTTTTTTCATTTTACTAGTTTCTTGAAACTATTCTTACTAGCGGTTTGCAGTGGCTGAGGTAATGTACAGCGTGTGTAAAATTTAGGCATAACACTAGGCAGTGTATTGGGTCGCGTCATTGTAGCATGACTAGCGGTTTATTTGCCGTTTTGTTTTTTCACATTTCTTGCATTTCTGTTGTGTGAGCTGTATTTTCACAGTTTGTACTGTATCACTGTATTGTGACTAGCAGTTCAGCTTGTGGTTATAGTGTTAGCTTAGTCAAGTCAGGCCACCATTTTGTAGGATTTTGTAGCAGTGTTTCAGACCATGTCGTATGTCTTTACATATTAATGTCACTCGCAGAAGCTCAAAAAGAAGGTCTGACTCAATGTGTAGGTCTGAAATGTAAAATTTAACATTATACTGATGAAGATATGACAATAGGGGATCATTCTCTTTGCATGCTCTTCCAACGCGCTCGCAATTGTCAGATTCATCCTCTTCTGGAGGCAAACATGCACAACCCCAGTTACAAAATGTAGTTAATGTTGCATGCAGTTATACATTTCCACCAGAGAGGTCTCCAAGTCCCTAAAGCTTGTATCCATCTTCTAAACCGCTTATCCTCCTGGGTCACAGGTTAAAACCTATAATGTAGGCTAAATAAGGTACATTTTGAGCTTTTTTAAAAAAAAATTAATCAGGAAGCCTATTGAATCGAGACATTGTATTTTATCAAATTTACATTTTTATCCTTACAACCAAAGTATAGTTTAAGATGTACTACCACATTTCCAAAAAAATTGTGATGCCGTGCAACATGCAAAAAAAATCATGTGAAAATCATTTAAACCCAATAGTTAATTGAATATTTAATTGAAAATATTACAAAGACAACATATCAAATGTTGAAGCTGAGTAATTTTATTGTTTATATAGAGTTTATTGTGTGAATGTGATGTTATGTGATGTACAAAGGCTTGCAAGTGGCAATAAAAGAAGTATATAGTACATTTTTCATTGTGCATCAATATAAATCAGAACATAATTGTTTCCTCTTGCAGTCTGTGAATGGTGTAGCCCATGTTGATATTTTGATATCACTTACATTGCCTCAAATCTGAAGACCACATGTGTCCTGTATTTTACTGTAGTAATCTTGTTTTGATTTGTTACATACTTGCATTTCTTTTGTGTGTGAGCTGTGTTTGTCCCACAGTGCAGATTTAGAATAGTATTTACAGGATGTTTGGATATCTGATACATCAGACTGGGCTGGGAAACAGCAGTGCTTCCATGGAGTAGTAAGCCTGTGGGGTTGGGAGGCTAGGAATGCCACCTCCAGGCTTTTTTTGGGAGTTTGGAATTCCTATCATTCCAGCAAGCAGATGGGATGGTCCTGAGAGAGTCCCGTTCCACAAACAAGTCCTATTTTATTTTGTGAAGTGGGATTGAAATTCCACAATTGAGTTACAGGATTAAGTGGTTTTGAGTGGAAATAATAAATACATGAATTAATGAATGAATTAATATATATATATATATAAAATATTTTTTTTTATTTATTTATTTTATTTAATTTATTTATTTATTTATTTTTAACATGTGTGTATGATTTGTTAATTATTTTATGGGAATTGTAAGCACCTGAGTGCTCAATGTAGCATGAGAGAAATCTTTTAGAAAGTAGGATAGGAATTTAACAGTTAGTAGAAGCCTGACATTTAGATCTGTTAGCTGTGTTTTCCACGATGTCTGGGAATCCCCCGTGCCTTCAGTCTTTGTTCAGTTCTGATTCATTTGTCATTTGCAGGTTTGCAAGATGATGTCCGACGCCAGTGAGATGTTGGCAGCAGCTTTGGAGCAGATGGATGGGATCATCGCAGGTAGGCCAGAACAGTAAAATAAGCCTTGATGCTTTTGATAACATGCATACATGCTAGAGATGGACCAGTTTAATTCCAGGTATCAGGCTGATATCAGCAGAAAATGCTGGATGGGATATCTTAATGTATCTGATCAAGTCCTGTAACAAATCTGTCCTGAAATAGCACTCACTCACACTGTGTGATGTCATGTTAACTGAAGTGCCTCAGTTGAAATATTCAGCACTGAAATTTAACACTCCTCTAAAGAGAAAATCCCGCAGTGATGGTTCTTCATCTCAGGCTCTAATGCAGTGACAGGCCAGAGTAATACTTGTTTCAGATTACTTATCACCTCGGAGGCACCCGAGACGATACAGCCGTTCTCTTCGTGGTTGCGTATGAAAGACTCCTGCCTGGGCTTTATGGCTGACTCTGAGACATTATGTAGATTTTTCCACTGGCTCAGCACTGAGGAAATAAAATACTTATTCGCTCTGCCTCCACACTGCTGTCCATCTCTGGGAACATCACTGAGAAAGCAGCAAGATTTAAGAAAGTATTTGCTGTATGAATTAGAGCTTAGCAGAGCGTGTGCTTTTCCACTGACTCTTGTAATTGCAGAGGTGGATGCGCCAATGTGTAAATCATCTGACCTTAATGACCGTAGTGGCCGTAGAAGTGCTTCGTCCTGCTTTTTGGAGTATTGACTTGAGATGAGATGGGTCTAATCATTTGCTTTCATATTTTTTTATTTTTTGACTCTTTATTGTAATAATAATAATAACAATAATAACAACAAACTTTATTTATGTAGCAAGTTTCATACACTTAAAATGCAGGATACAACCATATTTACAAAATGGAAGAGAAAAGAAGAAACTAAGGCAGTGTAAAAGCAAATCAGTGCTAATTGCTACTGTGTTCCAGACATTTGGTGCACTTAAAACAAAAAAACTACTTCACCACTTAAAGAGAACTGCTGGATTTATGCTTTATATCATCTGTTTTAACAGAATGTGTGAAGCAGAATACTTTGTGATTTGATTTGTGACCCGTCTATAAGTGAATAACTTCTACATGTGTATCTGTTTTTGTGCTCCAGGCTCCAAAGCCATGGACTACTCCAATGGTCTGTTTGACTGCCAGTCGCCCACCTCACCCTTCCTTGGCAGTCTGCGGGCGCTGCACCTCCTGGAGGATCTACGGGGGGCGCTGGACCTGATGGACACAGAGGAGCGGGACAGTTTGCGCAGCCAGGTGCCGGACACCACAGCAGAGGGCCTGGTGGAGTGGCTTCAGGGCAGACTGGTGAGTGTGAGAGAGGGGCTTTAATCAGGTCTGAAATTTTACTTCAAACCCAAATCTAGCCCTAGAACATTCTGCTAAAGTCTGGTCTGACCCACTAAAGTTACATCCAGACCTCCCCGAAACCCAACCAGCACTAACCAGAGACTGATTAAAACATCACATTCCTGCCTGTTAAGTACCAACTGTGACTGCCATCATCATATCATTGATAAACAAAATAAATAGCTCAATTAACAGCTGTGATCTTATTCTTATATTATATACTTATATAAAAATTTTAGCCTCATATTAATCTTTATGTGTAATAATTATAGCTGCCCCGAGTTATTTGAAAACTCAAATACTCGTTCGTTATGTTGCTACTGGGTTATTTATTTGCTATTTGGAAGCTTCGTCCTTTTTTTAAAGGAGACCTATTATGCTCATTTTCAGTGTTCAGAATTTTATTTTTGGGGTTTACTAGAATTGATTGACATGCTTCAGTGATCCCAAAACACATTTTTCTCATACTCTACATCTCTGTTCACCTACCCCCCCATGCACCTCCACAAATGATACGCCTAGTGTGCTCTGATTGGTCAGCTTGCCCACTCTGTTTTCATTGTTCGACCGCCAGAGTGGTTCTGCTCCTATGAGCTCTGCCCTTTCAGTCCTGAAAATCAGGTCAGCGTCTTCTCGACATGACTACAGAACTGAACAAGCTCTTCTCAGCCTCCAGTAGGTGCTGTACGATGTGTGCCAGGACTGTGTTATTAGATTGTGTCATCTTGTAACAAAAGAAAAGGGTTTTAATTCCAACAAGGTGTTTCAGGCAGCTGAGAAAAATGGTTTCTGTGGGAGAGAGTTTCTCCCTCTGGTGTGTACTTTGGGTTTTATAACTGCTTCCATGGTGATTCTCCTCATGTATAGATGAGCCTGTAGCTCCAAAAGCTCCTCAGTCTTTCAGTCCTGCGCTCCACTCTCTCTACCTCGTCTGTGACCGAGCTCAACTTGGCTGTGTCGCCCTCACCACTGCGTTCAGTGATTTAGGGAAAAAAAAAAAGGCAAACTAGCCAAATAAATGACCTCAATAAAAATAAATAAAAGTAACTTATAAAAACAAACTAAAGCTAAAACTGTGATGGTGATAAATGATTGTTCTAATGTGTTACACTCTTAGAGTCTAAGTGACTCATAAAAACTGTATTTAAACGAGAAAGCCACAATTATGGGGCAACATAGGGCACACAGTCAGCTGGGCTTCAGCCTGAATATAAATACACTGTTGCTGCCCACTGGATATATTTTGAGCTGAATACTTATAATCATAGCTGATTATGAAATGTAAATATTATGGTTTTTAGGGTGGTTTTGAGAATGAATTTTCAAGTACTTGTTCGAAAATACCAGGTTGCAGACGTTCACCCTCACCCTTCAATGCCTTCACTCTCATCCTTGATTTTTCTTTTCCATTTCTTATCAGCAGTTCCTCCTCTACACAACCAAGAAAATATTTCTGATCTGTCTGAGCTCCTCAGCTGCAAATCATTACATTTCAACTCTGTAGTCTAGACACAAGTAATCCACGGATAAATTATAATCCTCCCTAAAATGTTCCATGGTTATGTCTTGACTTAATTTGGGATAAGATACATGCTCAAAAATGGTGTTACTCAACTACACACTTTTTAGCATCACTCTTTTTAGCACATTTTGTCTCTGCTCACAAAAACATTACCTATCTCTAACACCGTCTTTTTCATTAGAGCACATTTTTGTGTTAAAAATCTGAACACACTGCCTGAGTTGGATATGAAAGACTTAACAGAATATAATACAGAAGGCTAAATAGAATTTTCGGTATTTAGTGCGTCCACTTTTTGCCTTTTGTTACAGCTTCCATTCTTTTTAGGCGATTTCAGTTTTAAAGAAATCTAAAAAAAATTGGATGCATTTTCTGCTTCTCATGATATTGAGGTCCAGACTCTGGGTTGGTCAGTCCATTGTTCTGAGAACACCAGCAGCTACTTTGTTTGATTTGGAAATTTTGTTCTATTTATGTGTTTTGTTTTCTCCGTAATATCTTTGTGACAGCTACACATCCTTTCAGACCCACAGTGTTGAGTTGTCCTCTCACTGTGGAAGGATGGACAGAAGCATGTGTGGATTTTTTTCAGATCTGATGAGGACACTGTTGGTGTTAGGAGTTCCATTTTCCCTATATCTTTTAATAATTTTTTGAATTCCAGATGTGTCAACAAGTCAGATAAACTTAGAGTTTGCTCTCAGTGGTTCGGCTGAGCAAATTAGACCATACAGTACAGTTACAGTGCGTTTACCTTTCTTGGTGTGTGTTCTGTGGGGGAATAATTCTCACTAGTTGTGTGTAAACCTGTGTTTCTGCAGAGAGACTTCACCCACATTAATAGATGCGTGCATTGACCGCAGGCTAAAGCTGTACTAAGGTGTTCCCTCTTAACTTCTGTCACAATTACAGCTTCAGCACGCTTGATACTCCTGGCTCGTCCTTGATTACTTGATCCAGCTGGGCTGATGATAGAGTGCTGAAAATATCTACTCAGATCCAGACAGAAAATGTTGGTTTTGAACCCTTAATTTAATGTGTTTTCTTTTTTTTTTTCAACATTCAGAATTTGCACTGGTCTGTAATAACACATGCAGAACATAACAGATGATGGTACTTCAGACATTAAATCAGTTTCATCCCTGAAGTACCTTTTTTTTTCACCACCATTTCTTAATTATCTGTTACGCTATCGCAAATGCTACTGCTCTGTGCCGATTATTACCAACTTCTTTAGTTGCAGCATCGAAATTTGAACTGTGATTTCTCAATGATGAAAAGGCAAGACTTTAGACAGTTATGCTACTGGGCAGCCCTGTAAGATTCCTCTCCTGCCCTTGATGCCCTGCATTGGGCCTCATTGAAAAAGCAGTCTGGATTAAAGCACTTCTTATAACTTAAGTGTGAGTGAGCAGAGCTAAACTGTTGTATGGATATATGTAAATGTTTTGGTTTTTGTGACATCAAAATCAATTAATTCAGAACAAGCTGTTTTTGCAGCTTAGATTCCATATATGGACTGTATGGACTGGAGACCCAAATAGCAAACTTTTAACCTAAAAAATGCTTTTGAGCAAAACCATTGCATCAGTGTATCTCTCTGATGCTGAATGTATCTGCTTGTTGTATTTGCTGGTGGTTGAATATGTTTACACTGTAATTGAGCAGTGTTGATTCAACATTGATTGCTTAGTAAATTCAGTTCAGTATTTACGCACTGTATCACACCATGGGCTCTGTTTTAGTGCCAGCACAAGTACAGTGGAATGATAAAACTCCACCATATTACTAATTTACTTGAGTTCAAGGCCCTCTGTGTGTTCATTTGCTGTTTTGGTGGTCTGAAATGACAGCAACTGTGATTTTATCCAAAGATGCGCTTGCATTGCCGCATTCTCCGACTACTCTCATGTATTTTTCTGACAAGCACAGGCATAAAGACAAGCCCAGTACTCACAGCACAAATCTGTGGATGAATACTATTAATATCACCTCACCTAAATATAAATAGGTAGCTTCTTCCTATTACTGCCATTTATACAACTGATTTTATTATTTTCTTTTATAACAAATGAGGGGAAAAAAAATAGATATGGATCAGACAGTTATGCCTCACAGCAAAAAGGGCCTGTGTTTGATTCTCTGGCTGAGCAACCAGGGTCCTTTCTGTATGGGTTTGCATGTTCTCCCCTGTCTGCGTGGGTTTCTTCCCACAGTCCAAAGACATGCATTCAGGCTAACTGGAAATACTAAATTGCTCCTTAGGGTGGGTGGGTGTGTGTGGGTGTGTGTGGGTGTGTGTGGGTGTGTGCGTGCGTGCGTGTGTGTGCGTGCGTGCGTGCGTGTTTGTGCGTGTGTGCGTGCGTGTGTGTGTGCGTGTGCGTGCGTGTGTGTGTGCGTGTGTGTGTGTGTGCGCGTGCGTGTGTGTGTGTGTGTGCGCGTGCGTGTGTGTGTGTGTGTGCGCGTGCGTGTGTGTGTGTGAGAGAGAATGTGCATGTATGTCTGTATGTCCGCGCTGTGATAGAGGTGCAGCCTGTCCAGGGTGTTTCCTGCCTTTTGCCCAGTGAGCACTGGGATAGGCTCCAACACCCCCTGTGACCCAGGAGGACAAGCAGTTTAGGAAAATGAGGAAGATACTGGTGGGAAATCTAAGGTAGATTTGTACAGATGTGGTGGTGGTTTCTCATGTTGAATCAGTGTCAATACAACAAGCAAGATCAGTGCAAATTCAGTATCATACTGACTCTGACTCAGTGGTAGTAGATGAGTACAGTATTTGGAGACTTAGCTGAGGACTTCTATTACATGGCAGTGCTGCCTGGATGGGGATCAAACCTCCAATCTTCTGTATGCAGGACAATTGCACACTTTGCCTTCCTTAGCCAGATTTAAAGTTTTTGGTTAAGTCTCTGAACACCACACTCTCCTGGCACTGTAAGTTAGGGCTGCAACCAATGACTAATCGATTAACTAATCAATTATGAAAATAGTCATTGGTCTATTGTGACTTTGATTAATTAATAAATTGAAACTGGAAATCTGCAGATATTCTGACAATAGTACTTCATTCAATGTATTAAAAAATACAAAGATTATGCTTCCTTTATAAAAATGAATTAAAATACTTTTAATTCATGCTTTTTTTTGCATTGCATTGTTTTAAGAGAGGCAGAAACAGTAAAGGAGCAACACAGACACATCATACGTGGCAGTCTAAGATAGATAGGCTGGCTTTCTGTATTTCACCTCTACTGATAAAGCGAAAATGGATTAAATAGCTTCTGTGTGGTTGATTACATTATGTAATAAATTCTTATTACAGATCATACGCTAACAGCCTGGTCATCCTGTGTCAGATACAGAGACCTAAAGCAGCTCATCACATGGAAAGTGGCAATAACCACGTGTGTGATGTCATATGATGTCAGCGAATTCAAATATTTTTTTGGGGTTCATGCAAGATACTGAGGTCATGTGATGTAAATGGATAGCTCTGGTAGAAACAATACAATAAAATACATCAATACAATACAGATTCAACAGAGATCTATGTTGATTCCGTGGCTTTGCCCAACATCAGATTGACATTTTTAGTCACAATTATGGGCAGTGACTCAGTTCACTGTGTTTTGGAAATGAATTGCATTCCCTTTGTCTCATGATGCATGCTGTAGAGCATTTTGCTCTTATTAAGAGACGTGTGTTTTGGCCTGCTCCTTCACTTTCAAGGCTAATTTGATTTGGGTCAGAAACACTTTTATGCAGCCTGACCTGCATGTGACCTGCCAACAACACTGCAGTAGCCAGACCAACGCTGACGTGTCAGTTAACTGTCTACCTGCTTTTTTTGGGTCTCTTCCTTGTGGCTAAATACAGCATATCTAATTAGAGTATTGCATCTTTTATTACGTTTTCTTGCTTGCTGTTTGTTCTAGAAGGTTTATTACTCTCTTTCTTTTTCTGTAGAGCCAAACATCTGCATTACATGTTGAATATACATTTTATTTTGACTTTGCCGTTGATAAGGGTCTGGCCATGGTAAAAGGTACGTGCGTAAGAGTGGTCGCTTGCCTTAGTAAAGTGTGGGTATGTGGGTGGATTAAGATCTTTTTTTTTTTTCCTGCCTGGTTTTTCCACATGTAACTTAAGTCAGGCTCATTGTATGAAATTTCCACTCTTGTGTGTCGAAGTGGTGCATGTGAAAACCATCCAAAGCCTGCATTTGTTCAAGCTTGGAAAATCTCGTGACTTCACATTCCCAGCATGTGATTTCTCTGTCAGCCTTTTAACTCGTCTGTATGTGGGGGCTGAATCTTCACAGGTCATCCTACTGTGTACTGCTGTCTATTGAAGCTCCATAGATCAAGTTAGCTAGTGAAGTAGAGAGCTAATAACAGTGGGCATGTGGTCGAAATGCAAGCACTAAATCACTCAGAAAAACACAAGTGTTGTCATAATACCAGAAGTTTGATACCGATACAAACTATAGTATTGCAGTGCTTGAGACCAAAGATTTCAGCCTGGATAAAAGGGTGATGTCAGTCACTGCCAATACCAGATTACAAGTACCACAGTAATGATAATTCACAGGCAGTAATCACCATTTTGGGAAGGAGAACTGATGGAGAACAATCAACAACTAATTAAGTTTTAAACAGCTTATTCACTTTCACTGTGAAAACAATGGATTTATACAGGGCAATAATGTGCTGTTAAGCTACCATAGAGCAAATTTCCCTACAGGAGGTTTCCCAGATATAACACTTTGAGTGCCCTGATGGGTCAGAGGAGTTGTAAACTTATGAAATTATGATATTTCACAGGCATCATAAGAAACACTGCTAAAACAAAAAACTTCAAAAAATATTTATTGATAATATAATTAATACTTCTCATATTTTGACAGGAAAATATTGCATTAATTATTTTTAGACCAACAATACTTTGGCAAAAAATGAATATATACTAACCTGAACATGTAACACACACGGTTTATTGGACTGTATGGACAAACATACTAAAATTGTTACAGCTTAACTAACATCTCTGATTTCTGATTTAATGCAGAACTCTTCAAATTTACATATACTTTGTCTATAGGCAGAATACAGCGTTGTATGATTTGACATAAATATAGAACTGACAGTATTGTTTACCACATTGTAATACCGAAAAAGCGCTGGTCCTTCAATACAGAGACTATGATTCTTACAGTCGTATGCAAAAGTTTGGGCACTGGTGAAATAACATTGTTGATTTTCTAAGTGAAAGCAAGTTAACATGTCCAGTTTTGAACAATCAGTTTGCAGACTCAAATGTCATTTGAAGTTTCTCTATCCCTGTTTTTAATCTCTGCTCACTTCCATTCAACATACAGCACAAATCACACAGTCATAGGGAGTCTTCCAGCTGTCAGAACCTCTCTTTCTTGTGTTTCTGTTAACTGATGCATCTCTTCCAAAAGTGCAATTACTGTGTCAGTTTAGTGGGCTGTAAAATTGCACTTGTTTATGTTTCTAGACGAATGGCCATGGATCTGCAGTGGGGGATTTGGTCTGTCAGGAGCGACTCTCCCGGCTAGAGAGCGACAAGGAATGTCTAGTGCTTCAGGTGTGTAGACAAGACAAGCATGTTTTCTATTTCGGTTTATTAGATTACCTGTTCTTTTCAGGCTGTATTGTCAGTGTCCTCTTAACCTCAAGTAGTGTACTCCAGTCTTAGTGTTAGTGCACCTCAACATTAATATATAGTGACCTTTTTTTCTGCAGGTGAGCGTTCTGACAGACCAAGTGGAGGTCCAGGGAGAAAAGATAAAGGACCTAGAAATGTGCCTTGAGGAACACCGAATGAAGCTTAATGCCACTGAAGAATTATTACAGCAGGTATGGGCGTTGTATGTGACCATTATGCCTATGCCGCAACTAGAAATACATTTGTTACAATAAATTTAGGTATAATACATATTTCTAAGTTTACAGACACCCTGCTTATCCAAAATTTTTTCTTAAGCAAAGGTAGTTATAAGGAGTTTGTCCCTCATTTGCTGCAGTTAACAGCCTCTGCTCTTCTAGAAAGGCTTTACACTAGATGTAGGGACATTGCTGTGATGATTTGATTGAACATAAGCAAGGTCAGCTACTGATGTTGGATGATTAGTTCTGGATCACTCCAACTCATCCTAAAGGTACCGGATAGAGCTCTACCATCAGAGAATGTGGTTCCAGTGCTCCAAAGCCCAAAGCTGGGGGGGGCTTTATACCCTCTAGATGACACTTGGCATTGGGCATGGTGACCTTAGGCTCATGTGCAGCTGCTGCAGAGTGTCCCATTCTGTTGACAGTGATTTTCTATGGAGATTATACAGCCTGTATATGTGTACAGTTGAACGTAATGGGTGCACCTTTAAGGTTTCGGATTCCTCAGTGTAACCACCCTTTGCCATAATAGCGTCATGGGAAAGGAATTCAGTCAACAACTTCAAGCAGGAAATCCTTGACAGGTTTTGATTTCAGACTGAAATTCTCAGACATTGGGTGGTTTTCCTTTTGCAAGATTTCAGTTTTTATAAAAATATAACATTTTGCTAATATAATTACTTATATATCTGCTTATTTAAACATTATATAAACAAATATTATAGATCTAATAATGTTTTTTTTTATTTCAGACAGGTGTATTCAAGTATTTGAGCAGCATTGTGTGTAACATTTTAAACTGGTTCAGTGGTCTAACCCACACTGTTCTCTTTAGGAGTTGCTGAGCAGGAGTGCATTAGAGACACAGAAGCTGGAGTTGTTGACGGAGATATCCAGTCTGAAACTGAAGCTGGCAACAGTAGACCAAGAGAACAGGGAGAGCGAGGTAATGGGCATGCAGTGACGCCGTTAGGAGCTCTTAAAACATAAAGAAATCAATCATTTCATGCAAAGTAGTCTCATAAATGTTTTAATACATTTCCTAACTGTGAGGTCACCTTCATTTTTCACTCTGACAGAAGTTTGATTTAACAATGCAAGACCATAAATTTCATAATCTGATCTGCTGGTTTTGTACTTTATGCGCTAACACAGAGCTGCATTCAGTTAGAGAAACATGAAGTGGTAATTTTTGAACATTTAATGCCCACTTGCTTGAGTTAATATAGAAATTTGACATTCAAAAATACAAATTCTAATCTTCTCACTTCAAATTTTTGGTCAAATTTTGCAGCTTCTTCCTTAATCCCACTATTGAATAGCCAGTAGGCATTCAGCAGATTCCCACATAGCGGCATCAACTGTAAATTGTAGGCTACGTTAATTCATTAAAGGAAACTCTCACTGTTAAGACGTTTATGCAGTTCTAATAATATTAAAATATGATGTGTAACCAAATAGAGCTGTTTTGTATTTTAAAAAAAACATGAAAATCTGGCAAAATCCCTTTACTAGAAAGTTGCCCTGTATATCATGTGGTTTTACTGGACTAGGTCCTGTGGAAAATACAGTTTAAAAATGTTTTCCCTTGGGTAGTGCCATGCTTTAGCTAAAGCTGGCAAAGCTGAATGATTGATTTATTTGAATTAAATTAGATCTTTTGCTTGCAGAGAGCACAACCACTTGATGCTGCAACAAAAATATTAACCACAAGCAGAGATATTTTTAATAATAAAGTACTTTGCTTGATTTAAACACATTTTAGTAGTATTTGACATATATACCTCACAGGCCAGGGTTCCCTTTAAGATATTTAAAATGCTGAAATTTCTCAAATATTAACACAGAATATTACTGCTGGTCAATGTGCTGCTGTTAGTATGGGGACATGTATAGCCACCTAAGCCCATAACTCTGTTCAAGCAAGGGTAAGAGTAAAGCGCTGAGCTCTTAAGCCATTTCCTGCCATAAAGCCATTTCTCTCTGCTAATACTGAGACTACACTACCGCTATTCACCTCTCCGCTGCTCATTCAGGCTAGTGGGACTTTGGGGAGTTAAGCTTAGGAGTGTGGATTTCAGAAACCGTAAATCCACGGAGGACTGGAGTGATGTGTTTAAATGCCAGACAAAGCAAATGTGGATTTCATTTTAGCCGTACTGTACAAACCACTGAGCTGAGAGATGTTTCAGTGTGTTTGATCTTCAGTGTCATCGGAATACACTGTCTCAGAGTGTGGAAGTGCGCTTAAAAGACTTATAAGTACAGAGTTACACCTCAGCCATTGAGTATTAGGATTCGTTCTCAAAACAAAAAAAGGTGCTAAAAGGTTTCTTTGGAGTGATGCCATAGAACTGTGGTCACTAAGCTTGCTCCTGGAGATCCTTTTAGAGTTCACTTATAACCCTGACTGAACACATCTGGACCAGATCATCAGTCCAGTCCACTCACTTGGTCCGATCAGGTTTCTTTAGGTTTGGGCTGGAGCTGAGTTTTGCTGAAAGGTAGATCTCTATGAGCAGGGTTGGTGACCACTGCCACAGAACAACTACTTTTCTGTGATATTTCTTTTTTTGTAAGTGAGATGTTCAAGTATAAAGAACTTTTTTGAAGTTCAAAGAATCTATACTTAATGTAAAGTTCAGTTCTCTTAAAGGTTTCCCTAGAACTATACATCCAAGACAAGAACCATTAAGTAGTCTTTATTTTTAAGAGTGTACCCTTGAGTATCAGCCACTTTTGAAGACAATATTCTTAAAGGTCATACATTAATGTCTTATACTCCCAGCAAATCACATTACCAAATCATTCTGGGTGATAATGTATGTGCTTGTCTCTGATTGCGAAATTGCATTCCACTGCATAGCATTTCCATCCAGCCTATTCCCACAACTCCTCTTTTCTTCATTCTTGACCCTTTAACTCCGAGATAAGACTGTTTCTCCCTGCAGGGTCTTTATCAGGAGCTGAGTGAAATGCGCCTCAGGATGGCTACTGTGGAGACTGAGAAACTACAGCAGGAAAGAAGCCTGAAATCTACCAGAGTAAGAGTGCTAATGTACATGTAACATGTAGGGCTGTCACAATTACTCAAACATATTTTATTTGCCTAAAAGAATCTGGAACAATCTAAAAGGCAGCATATCTTGCTCCAAAATGTGTATGTGTCTTTTGCTGTTAATGGTGGTTTCACAGATGTGCATGGTACCCATGCTGTCATAAACCATCGTACATGACAAACCCTGGCTTTTTAACTTTATGCTGGTGTCAGTCTGGAGGGTGCTTTTCTTTTTTGGCTCAGAGAAAACAATGTCCCATTATTTCCTTACATTAAGAGGTTGACACATCAGCTCCCAATACATGTTTCCACTGTGCATTTAGTCCATTTTAGATGAGCTTTAGCCCAGAGAAGTTGGCAGCATTTACAGATGCTGTTTGTTGACATATGGCTTCCCCTGCACGTAGTACAGTCTTAGCTTGCATTAACTGTGTTTCTTAACAATAGTTTGTTAAAATATTCTGGAGCCCTTGTGGTGATATCATCACAGAAGCATGCCTGTTTTTAATTCAGTGCCATCTGAGGGACTGAAGGTCACAGACATTCAGTTGTGGTTTTCAATCTTTCCCTTTTACACACAGAGATTTCTCCGGATGCCCTGAATCCTTTGATATTATGCACAATAGAGGGAGAAATGCCTAAAATCCCTCTAATCACTCAGTAGTTAAGGGACATAGTTCATAAACTGTTGGATTATTCACTGATGCACTTTTTGGCAGAGTGGAGAGCCTCGCCCCATCCTTGCCCATAGAGGACTAGGCCTTTCCTGGATTGCATTGCCTGTTTAAGATGTTGTTTGAACATTTCACAACATTCCTAGTCTTAAATTGTCCCCATTCCAACGTTTTTGGAGCATCTCACAGACGTCAATTTGAGAAAGAGCATATGTTTACAACAAAGTGGTTTGTGAATGCTCACAGAAACTCTTTTGTAGTGTCAATGACCGGTCAGAATGATTACACCAAATAAAAATATGTAATGATTGGTTAGAGGACTCATTTGCATATTGCAGCCTTCTGTGTATCAGTGCTACAAAAGCTACTATTGCAGTAACAATTAAGAAGTGCTGTGCTAACCCTTCTCTGCACTCTGCACAGACCAATCTCTGATTGCCTTGTCAGTTTTTCTCTAACACTCTTGTCTCACTGCTTCCAGGTTTTTCTTCTTGCTCACATCTCTCTCTTTCCTGCTCCCCCTGTTCTTTGATGGCTGTAAACACTGGACTCTCACTCTTCCAGCTCTGTCTGTGTGAAATGAGGGACAGGAGTGTAGGCTGGTAGTTTTGGTATTTCTGTGCTTCACCTCCTTTCTGTTACGCTTCTCATCCATCTGTGTCTAATACCACTTCTAGCCTTCATGAGCTGCTCTGGCAGCCTGACTGCCTCTCACTACCGTGTCTGCTTTCTTCTAACCTTGTGATTTTAATGTAAGTTATTTAACTGATATTATCAGTTCTAAAATCTGATTGGCTGAACCACGTTCGAAGCATAAAGTATAAGTATATACTCACTGTTAGGGATGCACCAGTATGGGAATTTTGGATTGATGACTATATATGATATTTTTCCATGTACATATGTCAATATACAGGTTTATAAAATGTGGAAATTGAGACTAAATGTACCTTAATTTGCATTATGGAGAGAAATTATTTTATTTGTAAAGGACTTAAATGCAGTAAAATGAAGAAAATGCAGATATTTTGGCACAGTAGAGCAGCGTCACCATATTTGATCATTACATTGCATAATCATAGTCTACAGTTAACAAACTGCATGTTAGAAGAATTATTCACTGGGAGTGGAGTGTTTAATCCACCTCATGTTGTGTCTAACAACTCCCCTTCACTGTGGTAAACTACAGTAACTCACAGCTTTTCATAGCTTGTGGCTTTATTTTACAGATCATTTTTAGCATTATTTTTGCAGTTTGTCCTAAATGTGGATCAGATTTTTTTTATTGTTGGACAGTTTAGTTTCTAGTGCCTCCATCTGTATCTGTGCAAAATATACACTCATCATTGCCAATACTTTTATTATGTTGAGTGCAGTTAGTTATTTCATGATGTTCTTATCAGGAGGAGCTGATGGTGGTACAGAGGCAGCTGGAGGAGACTGAGCAGGAGCTGAGGAGACTGAAGGAGAAGCCTCTTCCTGAGGTCATGAGCACAGATGGAACCCAGAGCAGGGATAAAGGTACTGGCTCACCTCTGCAGTCATTAGCAACCTTAAGTCATTAGCGAGTCTTAAGGAGTCTCGAGTGGACATGCATGCATACATGCTTGCATATGCTACAGGCAAAAAAATGGAAGCAACAATAACTTTATTAAAAAAAATGTAAAAAGATAATGTGATCAGTTATCGTGAGATAATGTTTGCCAACAGAGATCAGAGCGGTGTGACTAAATATCTTCAGCAATAGTGTACAACTAACTGATTCTTCATTTGTTTGTTTTGCTTCTGGTAATTCTCCACTACAGCTCTAAACAGATCCACTTAGAATCACTGCTTGCTATTACACTGTTTATCCTGTAGTGTATGTATATTAATGTGGCTGACACCACTTTCTTCACAGCCAAATTTCTTTTAAATCAACACATGACATCACAAGCACACTTGCAGTACTTTCTCTTAGCCAAAGTTGCAATACAAAAAAACATCAATTCACTCTTCATTAGACCAAACTGGCATTTTAAATCAGAAAATAAAAAATCAGTTGCCTCGAAAAATAACGTACTACATTAAAAGTAAGAGGAAACTGACAATTTAGCACGATGAGCTATGCATAATTATGCTATGAAATTTTGAATGGATGTGTAGTATCAGCATTTAAATGCCGCATGAGGACATTTCCCCAGTTCACAATATTCAAAAGTCATGAAACTGCAACACAGGTTGGCCAAAATAACGATAATAAATTGGCTAATTGCTGATCACACATTCGGAACAATAATCTGCTGATTCTGATATTGGCCAGTTCCAATCATGCATCCATTTATTTAGTGAAAGCATGGCTTCAGCACAGTCTAAAATCTGGCTCTTGCTGCATTAGCACATTGTGCAGAGCTACAGTTTCAGTAGATGTCAGTGAATGCAAAACATTCATATCCTGCATGTTCAGACAAGATTCCTAGAGCTGGGAAGATTTTTGCAAAGCAGACATCACTACTTTGTCTTTATTTATTACTTAGAACCATGTTAAGTGACCAGTCTAGCAAATATGCTGCTTTAGAGACTTTAAACTGTCATAAAACAAATACACTGTTGTATCACAAGTTATTTCAAAGTCTTAATAAATTGACAGATTTTCTGGTGTAGAGATATGAAATATTCCATCATCAGAAAAAAAAACTAAATCGCACGTTTACCTTCACTCTTGTACTCTGTCTTGTTCGGTATATAACATGCTGTGTTTTGTCAGATATGGAAGTCCAGAGAATGAAGCAGGCCGTGGAGTCTTTGATGGCAGCTAATGAAGAGAAGGTAATATCTGTGAATTCGCCAACCGTGTAATGAAGTCATTTACACCAACTTTCTGCTTAATCTGATCAGTACAGTGTTAGGTGTTAGGTTTAAATCATGGTTAACAGAATGACACTGTTGTGCCTGTATTATTTGAGTTATGATAGTCAGTGAAGGTCAGTGCGTAAGTGTTTTTCCTGTTTCCGTCAGGATCGTACGATTGAGGAGTTGCAGCAGTCTCTGATACGCTACAGGAAAGTCCAGGACATGGTGATGTCAGTACAGGGACAGAAAGGTGAGAACACAGCAGGGTGGGAGTTGGACACTCTTTCTGTTCATGTACACTCACTTGCCACTTCCTTAGTTACACTTACCTTGTATCTACACTCACTGGCCACATACCTTATAGGTGAACTTTGTAGTTCTGTAATCCATCTGTTTCTCTGTACAATTTGTTAGACTTCTTTCATTCTGTTCATCAGTGGTCAGGACCCCCACCTGACCCCCAGTGATCAGGTATCATTAGTTTCTTGACGCACTTAATCAATAGTTGGTTTGTTTGTGCAGCTGGTGAATACTGAGGCAGGTTGATGATGAGTGTCCACATTGATGTACTGATTCATGTGTTTTTACTGCTACTTAGCTAAATAATTCACCCCTACATAGCACAATATTTATCTGTTTCTAGGGATAAATTGGGATTTTGGAGTTGAGGGAGCTACAATTTGCAAACAATATTTTTCAATTTATGTGTTTTATATGGAGTTCTCAGCACTGACATCATGTAAATATGATTGTCAGGATATGATAGGATGAAAATATTGTCAGATTATTTTCTGACAGACATGAAAGTCACAATTAAGCCATCAAACTAGCCAAATAAACTGTTCCAAACAGTAATGCCACCCATCTGACATCAATCCTTCCTGTCCTTTTTAACTGTATTCTTTGAGCAGCTGCGGCTGTTTTTAAGAGACTGGTAGAAAAGACAATGCAGTGTATCCAGAAAATGTGTGAAATGCTTCACCTCTTTTCAACATGTTACTGGCCAAGTGTTCAACGCCATTCAATAAGATTTAAAACATGCTTCTCAAACTAGTTAAAGCCACAGCCTTCCTGTCTAACATAGCCAGTTTAGCTCTACTGATTTAGCTGATTTACTAAAAACCCACTTACATGAAGATACAACTGCCACAACTGAGGAAGCTAAAATATTTGTACACTCAATAGGCCTTCTATTGAATGTACAAATATTTTAGCTTCCTCAGTTGTGACAGTTGTATCTGACTATGCAGTGTCTGGCTAGATATCCATATGACAGAATAATTTGGCATTATTTCAGATTTAACAGGATAAATAATGGTGAATAATCTTGGTTTCTAGGGTTGATGCATAATGAACACTCTTACTTAGAAGGTACAGCAGGATTCAGTACCTGCATGGTTGTGAAAACCAGTAGAACAGTATTAGGAGGGTGTGCCACTTAAACATGCAGCAGAAAAAATGAGCGAGTTTGGGGGAATTTGCAGGATGGTGAGAATGTGTGACTGTTTAGAGGTTATCTCTCAGCATGGGCTATTACATCAAAATATTAAATGGATTTCACAACGATTGTATTGGAAACAGTTTACATTTCCATCAGTGTCAGTTTCCATCAGGCCATTCACACAAACAAAGAGACCCAGAGCTCTGCTCTGGTGCACTCTGGCCCAATGTAACTGCTGTTGTTTCATCCTGCTATGACCTGTTTTATTGTTTCTTAGTTCTTATTGATTTTCTTATTGATTGCTCACTGGATTGTAAAGAACTCAAACTGATTCTAGATAAGCATGTACATATTCTAGAAAAGCCATAGTTCTTATCTGTAACAATGTAGTACAGATCGTTCTAACTCAGTATTAAGGTCCATTCCTAAGGTATGATAAAGTACCATTCCTAATGTCTGACTCAGAGTAGAGTGTTTTCATGAAATACCTAATGGACTTGATTTTCTCTGTCTACCTTTCTGTGTCTGCACAGAACGCAGAGGGGGGAATTCAATTTAAGGAGAAATCTGTTTTAACCTTGCCTAAATTTGTTTTCTGGTAACAACCAGTCGCTTTGTCCTGTTCTCTGCTGCACTCTCAGACAGAGCTAAGGAAGAGGACGCTAGGGTGGGTCTGTGTGAAGGTTCAGCCGTAGCTTCACCCGCTGCAATTACTGAGTGTGTTTCTCTGGGAGGCTCAGAGGAGACTGACGAGGTACGACCCCCACACTGTCTCAAACACGCATGCACAGACACACAAACGCCACTGTATACACAGGATGTTCTTCAGACTTCCTTTAGGACATTACTGTCCAACTCCTTTGTCTTTGTTTTTTTTGGGAGTGTTTCTCATTGTTCTAAACTGGCATGAAAGTTAAATGGACTTTTGGACTTATTAGTGTGTTTAAGTAGTCTTCTACTTATCACTGAAAATGCTCTTTTATTCTCTTATATAAGTATTTTTACAGAATACATCAGGTGTGTGTTTATGTAGGCAAAAGTTTCATCATAGCATTTATGAGATTTAAGCTATGTCACATCACTGGCATTATGTCATGATAAACACTGAGCTAGCTACAAAGCCATGTTACGTCCTTTCACCCAAAAGGTATAATGACAACCCAACGTCAAAAAAAATATTCTGTCACCTGACGTGTTATATTAACTTGACCTCCAAGTTGACAGTTGACCTCTTTATGGCAGAGGATGCCTATTGAAATTAACCTTTATAGATGTTTATGTAGGTTTTAGTCACTTGTCAATACAAACTTGCATAGGGGTCATATATCTTTTTGAACACTGTCCTTTAGTAAAGTGTTGTCAGAGAACCTCCACATGATGTAAAGAGTCTATACACATTAAAGGTTTTTTTCCTAGAACTCTGTGTCTGAGCCAAGAACCTTTCAAGGAACCTTGATTTTTTTAAACTGTTTCAGCCGTGCCTTGCTCTGTGTTGGAGTCTTGTGATTAAGGGACATGGTTTCTCTTTTCTCCTCTGTCACTCTTTTGGCTCTTGACAGCCTCAGCTGATTCCATGTACTGAGCTCATCTCTGAGTCTGAGCTCGCTCCCACATCCGAATCCAAACCAGCGACTCAGGAGGAGCCAGGCCCTGCACACAGGTCTGCTTATCCCATTCAACTGCATGTGTGTAGTCCTCAGTATAGCTCTATCTATTCTGATTTTAATATGCTTCATGTGTATAAAAATTGTTTTTTTTTCCTAATTGTAGTTCCTCTGATGGACTTGGGTCGGAAAGCTTATCACCTCCTGCAGGCAGAGAGGAGGTACTGAGTCTAAATTTAACTTTCCTTTAACATAAGATAATATTCTGATAAGAGCGTTCTCAAATAAAAGGAATTCAAGCCTTTGGCGCCCCCTGCTGCTTACAAGTGCACCTACAATCAGCCTTTAGTCTGTAGTCATAGCTTTAGTTATGCATGTCACTATATATTTGAAGGCTACCTATGGAGGGATTTTATAGTGCATGCATTGACATTGTATTGACATAAGAGACCATAAATTAGAGTAATAGAACTTTCCTTCATTTATAGCACTGTTTTGAAGCATCATTCATACGTATCAGTAAAAACACCAGACATCAGGTCTATGGAAGACTTCAGTATTGCTTTTTTTTGTCTTTATTTACTATAGCTACTTGCTTTTAAATCTATTTAAGTATCAAAAGCAAATGTGCTGTGAAGTATAGTTATTATTTCCCTAAACAATTTGTATCAATGAGACCTGTGTATTTGCAAACAAGTAGAAATATATAGAATGATATATGGAGCTCTTAATGAGGCCTCTGCATGATAAGCTCCACTACTTGGGAATGATGCTTTATAACAATGTTATCAGTGGAATAAATGTCTGTCACTTTAGTTTAAGGACCTTTGTCAAGTACAGTGTCATTTACTTTGTATAACATTTTCTCTTGTGATTACTGGCATAAGCTCTTTATGAATATTCAATTATTGCTTTATAAATGTTATTCAGTTCACGCACATGTCATGAAGTCCCTATGCAGATAGCCTTCAAATAAAGTGTCATCCTATATTGTTTTTGTAGGACATGCCTGAATTTAGGAACTAGGTGAAGTAGTTAATATTTATTTGTGAATGAGTTATTTTTCCTCCCAAATATGTTTAACTCAGCAAATAAATACCGTATTTAAGTTTGTTCCCTGCAGAGGATATGCTCATCAACAAAACATGTAATTTGACCAGGGGTGTTCAGACTTTTGCATAGGTTTGTATAAAGCAGGAGTCCTCTTTTGGCCCCTGAAGGGGTATTTCAGAAAGCAGGATTTCTCAGTTTAGCTGGCTAACTTGAGCTAAAAGTAAGGATTGTCCAATAGCAATAGAGGCAAGGAACAGTCCTATTGGGGAATATTCCATTTTGACCTAGGTTACCTGGCTAACTGAGAAATGCTTTTTGTGATGTTCCTGGTCGTTGAGCTCTTGTTGTCGTCCAGGGTGAAGCTGAGGAGGCAGATGTTAAAAAGACCTCTCCATCAGCCTCCCCCTCTCAGCCCAGCCCGGTGGAGAACGACAGCTTTGGCACCAGAAAAAGTCGCTCCTCATTCGGTCGAGGCTTCTTTAAGATCCGAGGTGGAAAGAGGACAGCCAGCGCCCCAAACCTAGGTGAGTTATTGCTCACTTATTCATCAGTATTTGCTGACTCTGACGTTTTATCTGAAGAATTACTTGTTGCATCTGTTTGTTCTCTTCAAGTGTGTATTTCTGTTTGTATGTCTTATGTATGAGCGTGTGTATCGTGTATGGCACGGTCTGTGCTGTGAGTAAGTGAGGTATATATTGCAGTGTTTGTGTCTGTCCTGTTTTCCTGTTCATGCGTATGTCTTGTCCTTGTCTCCTTTGTGATGTGATGTGAAGACCGCAGCCGGAGTGCGAGTGACCCCATGTTAGGTACAGTACATCGCATAGCTGGCTTGCAGAATGGTGGCTCAGACTGCTGATTTGCTATTCGGTTTGCTCTCAGTGATGTGTAGTTACATGAATACTCCAGCATTTCTCTGAGCTTGGAAAATAAAATCTAACATGTTAATATAAGAAGCCAATATATTTCATCTGTGTACATTTGGAGCTTCCACAGCACAGAGATTGAATGCTTGTGCAAACAGCATTTTTCAGTCATTCATTTTGTCACAGAATATTTTCTCACATAAAACCAGTATCACTTTACATTAATTAATTTTGAGGGTCAGTCTTTTAAAATAAAATATGACCCAGCACAAAATATCATGTCATTTCTAACCCCCAGATGAATAATGAGGCAGTGCACTGAAGTCGGCAGTTTTTTGGCCTGCAAGGACTGGAGTCTGACCCATGTGGTCTAAACAAACAAATTAGGAGTAAAGGGATGTTCTTCTCTCTCTCTATTGATCGCTATTACAATTGAGTTTCAAGTCAACAAGTACAGGGAAACAAATTGATACGATCGTTCACGGTTAGCAGCCATACACTGCAGGTGTAGTAGATGGAGATTAGATTGAAAAATGCTGGAGTATTCCTTTAAGACTGGAAGGTCTTACCAGAATTGGATCTTCAGCGAGTATTGACCACTCCTTTGCTTTAAGAAAGAGACAGCTGGATATGAAAGAGGATGTTCTGCTATTTTGCCAAACATCACAGAGTAACTGGACTAATTAAGGTAGGCTTAATGCACACAAAGTCTTGAGATATAAGACACAAAATGAATAGTATCATCCTTAAAGAGCATAACCAGCTGTTTCTCATTCCTGTCTGAATCTGACCCCATCTGCAATTATGCTGTTGAACAAGGCTAGTTGGGAACTGTGTATAGTAATCATTTCATCTTTAAAAGCTTAGATGAAATGATGATACGGCATTTTCTGCATGTGCAGTTTACATACTGTGGTTGTACAAGGTTATGGGCTGTCAGGAGCTGTGATTCTGGATAAAGATTACTGCACTTTTCTTGCGTTTTTTTTCCTTGCTTAGGTTTCCTATGTGGCTTTACAAACTGCATTGATGTGTCTTGTTCTGCGGAGAACTCCATTAGAGGAAGCTCTTAATTGTTTATGAAATGACTGAACATTGAGGCTAGGAACAGTAAGAGCAATGCCTTTTTGCAGTATTTCAATTAGTGAAGGAACTCTTTTAATTTTTTCTACCTAGTCTCCTGTACCTATAATGTCCCATCAGTGAATGTGGACAATAATTTTGACATGTTTCTTTGTACTTAGTGAAAGAACAGAAACCCCACTGACTCAAAGCAGAAGCCAGTAAGCAAGTGAACTCAGCAACTCGTCGACTTGAAACTCATTTCTAATGGAAGCCATTGAGCAGTTGGATTCACCATCTGCCCAGTGGTTTCTATTACAAGTGAGCTTCAAGTCAACAGGTTTTTCCTCTTTCCTAATTACAAAGAAACAAGTCAAAATCATTGTCTGTTGTAATCAACTGTACATTACAGATGCAGCTGATAGAGATTAGGTTGTAAAGCACTAGATTATTCCGTTAAGTTTAGATTATTCAGTGCAGAGGTTCTCGTCAAGCTCTCGAGCAGCTCAGTCAGACAGTCGTTTCTCTTCTGCTTCTGCTCCTAACAAGCCTCAAGCATTAACCACTTCATTCAGGTGTGCTGGGAGCTAAGATTTGACAAAAACATGGCCTGGCTGGGGGCAAAATAGGTTTTGGATGATGTCTGCTTTGCATGAATCTCTTGGGCAGTAGCTTTCTCTGTGGATTATGGGTAGTGTAGTCTTCAGTACCTGTTTGGCTTATTTGGTTATGTTTTAAAAGCTGATGCTGAGCAGAAAAGGACTGAGCACCTGGACTTGGCCGGAGCTGCATCTCCCAAAGCAAAGGAGGGGGTCACAGTCTCACCAGAGGGCAAGAAGAAAGTAAAGGGAATTCGAAAGTTTTTGGGAATGTAAGTCTTCATTGTATTCTTCTTATAGGCAAAATGTACTGCTACTAGTTCTGATGTTGAATTCATAAGTTTAAGTATTCCTGACGATGGTATAAATGCATATCAAATGAAATGCACTCTGAATATTTGTGTGAGCATTTGATGATGAATGGATTATTACTTTATGGTTTAAGGACTCAGTTTTGAAGTTTTTATTGTTATAATAAGACAATTATTTTTTCCTTCTCTTATAAAGTTACTATTTATAAGGTTTTCTTACGAAAGGGACACTTTATGAATTAATGTTTATGCTCTTCACTAGGATGAGGAGGAGTCAGTCCACCTCCTTTAACCTAGATGATGCTCCCGAGTCAGAGTTTAAAAGGGGTGGAGTCAGAGCCACTGCTGGCCCCAGGCTGGGTTGGTCACGTGATTCGCAGCGTGGAAACAACAAGTAAGTGTGACTAATGCATTGCGTCCTATGTTTATAGAATTAACCTGTTCCCGGATTTCCACAATTGTTTTGTGGTTTTACTTAACAGGACAGTTTCACTGATTTTTCAAAATTTCTGCTTAATTCAATCATTACAATGTAAACAAAGTTATTTAGAGCTGTTTGATGTGAAATGCTCCCTTTTAGGGAAACATGCTGAGGCAGAATGGTTTACAGTGGTGGATAAGAACTAGATATCCAAAACATTTAATGCCTCTAAAAGCTAACTTACAGAAAGTTATTACATGAAATAGTTGAATACACTGAATACACTGCCTGATGATGCTACACTGTTTTACAATAGGTTTGAGATTTTTGGACTAAAATGTTGTTGTAATTGGTTTTATTGTTGTTTTGTTTTTTCCACTGTGTGTGCATCATTGTACAGTGTTAATCTCTAATTTGAAGTTGCCAGTAAACGCTGCAGAAACAAAGCTTTTGTCCATTTTCATCTTGCACTAATCATAAACAGAGGAGTTCAGAGAAAATTCTCTATGGGATGAAGCCCTGTGCTACTAGTTAGTTTGATGTTCAGTATACACATGGTTTCTGATTTGTTTGTGTGTATGTGGGACATTTCATGGTGCAGGTGTTTTAACACTAATGGAAGACACGAGTTAGAAATTCAGAAAGTCACAAGTCTGATCTGAGCAAAAAAACTGGAAATGAGCACCGAGGCTTGTAATGTGAATGTAGCCAAAGTGGCTCAAATTTAATTAGAAAAGATCACATTTTTTCACTGTTCCACTTTATCACTATAATGTGAACGTAGCCAGCTTTATTTCATTATTTCACATTTATTTCTCTCTCTCTCTCTCTCTCTCTCTCTCTCTCTCTCTCTCTCTCTGTGCAGTGAACTGGACACCCCATTTGCACGCTGGGGTAAAGAGCAGGTGTGTGTGTGGCTGCAGGAACAGGGTTTAGGTCTTTACCTCAGCCAGGCTCAGCAGTGGATCCGCTCGGGGCAGACGCTGCTCAGCGCCTCGCAGCATGACCTGGAAAAGGTTGGAACTCGGATCTCAGTTTTCCAAGTCTTCCTCTTTTAGAGTGGTAGTGGAACTATAAATGGAATTATTGTTGAATTTCCTTTGCCTGTGCGTGCGTGCGTGTGTGTGTATGTGTGTGCACGCTGTAGGAGCTGGGCATCAGGCATCCTCTCCACAGAAAGAAACTGCAGCTGGCCATTCAGACTCTGGGCTCAGAGGAGGATGACGCCAAGGGCAAACTGGACTTCAACTGGGTTACACGTCAGTGATGAGTACCACACACTCTACAGCAGGGGTCACCAATGTTATGCACCAGGGGCCAATGTGGCTGCAGGTTTATATTCCAGTGAAGCTCAGTCAGCACACCTGATTCCACTCTTCATCAGTTGGACTTGATTAGTTTTTTGAGGTGTGCTCTTGCTTGGTAGGAATATAAACCTTCAGCAGAGTTCAGGCCTCAGCCTCAGTCAGCCTCAGCAGTGGATCCCCTCAGAGATCCGACTGACTCCTGCTGTAAAGCAGTGGTTAATGTGAAAAAGATTATTCAGTAACCTTGTACGCAGACTGGATGTGTAAAAATGCGGTACATGTCATAACAATCACCAGAACCTTCCCTCTCTAATCATGGTGGTTTGATCAAGGTGGGGCAAAGCATTAGTGATTAATCCAGCTCAAAATATGACCCAAAATCCACTTCTTATACTTTAAACAAAGGGATCCTATATTCACACCAAAATTCACAGGATCTACTACTATTATTTGTTACCAGTGTTTCTTACAATACTTAGTCTGACTTCATTGGAACTATTTTGTTTCACTGGAGTTGAAATGACTGCTGAGTGAAGGGGGTGAGGCCAGGTTACAGAGCTGCTGCTTTAGAGAGCTGTGAACTTAAAATTCATAAGGATATCCAAATTGTCAGCATTTGCATCATTACACAAAATGACCCTAGGCTTCTATAAGGTAACAGATAATTCTGGATTGTACCAAAATGGTTGGACCCTTATTGTCCATGTCTCACTCAGGGTGGCTGGATGACATTGGACTGCCTCAGTACAAATCCCAGTTTGATGAGGGTCGTGTGGATGGACGTATGCTTCACTATATGACTGTGGTAGGTCACATATAGTTTACATGTCTTCAGTCAGAAATCACATAATGAGTGAAGCCATTTGAGCCACTGCTAAAGTGTGACCGTCTCTGGGTAGGATGATTTGCTGTATCTGAAGGTGGGCAGTGTCCTTCACCATCTCAGCATCAAGAGAGCCATCCAGGTGCTGCGGATCAACCGCTATGAGCCCAACTGCCTCCGCCGCAGACCCTCAGACGAGGTTCCTGTCCCTCACAAACACAGTCCTGTTCACACAGCAACACATGCAGGTCTTTGTTTTTCTGGATAGCTAAGTTGTTCCCATGCTGTGTGTGCAGAATAACATCACACCAGCAGAAGTGTGTGAGTGGACCAATCACAGAGTGATGGAGTGGCTGCGCTCAGTGGACTTGGCTGAGTACGCGCCCAACCTCAGAGGAAGTGGAGTGCATGGTGGCCTGATGGTAAGGAGATGATGGGGGGGACAAAGGAAAGGAGAAAACAGACATGTTGAGAGGGGAAAAAAGATGAGTATTCACATTTAAACGTCTAGAGTTAATACTGTTGTCTCATTTTTACATTCAATTTACAACAGTTATTGATATGGAAATGCATTATTAATTGCAGGTAGTTACTAATTATATTACTTTTACACTAGATTTACATTCTGTGCATTTACATTTACACCGGCACTTCTGACTATTTTCTGTTTGTTTTGATGTCAAAACACACGGCAGCAAAATGTCAATCTGGTTTATATTCCTGAAAAACAAGACTGTATGCACAGCCATAACTTAAAATTCGAATCATAATAACATCTACTTACAAACCTATGTAATCATATAACCTGTGAGGGTTTCATGGCATATAAGCCATGAGGAACCTTGAAGGGTCAAAGATAGTGACACTGAAAAACTGCATTTTTCAAAGTGTATTTTTCATCTTCTCAGGTTTTGGAGCCTCGTTTCAATGTGGAGACCATGGCCCTCCTCTTAAACATCCCACCAAACAAAACCCTGTTGAGGCGTCACCTGGCAACCCACTTTCACCTCCTGATTGGTGCAGAAGCACAGAGACTCAAGCAGGAGTGTTTGGAGAACCCGGACTACACGCTGCTCACTGCCACAGCTAAAGTTAAGGTACAGGCTGCTTTCTGCTGATGGGGCTGTTGCTCACAGTACAGCTGAAGGAGGACATCTCGTCTGAGTTGTAAGTGAGAGTAAACAGTTATAGACAAAATGTGCTTGAACTGTATAGCGCAAAGCGTTTAGCCCTCTGTGTGTTTGAATGCATTCCAAAAAAACGAGTTACAATTGAACATATCAGGGAAGGGACCTCCTCCTACAGCAGGAATTGGCTTAGGTGTTTTTTGTTTGTTTGTGTTTTGTTTTGTTTTCTTTTCTTTTCTTTTTTCCTTTCCTTTTTTCCTTATAACCATAATCTTCCCGTCTTCCTGCCCCAGCCAAGGCGTCTGTCGTTCGGTGGGTTTGGGACATTGCGGAGGAAGCGGCAGGAGGACAGTGAGGAGTACGTTTGCCCCATGGATGTTCAGATGCCCCAGAGCAGCAGCTTCCACAGAGGACTCCGCGTGTACGAGGACGAGCTGGACCAGTTAGAGCAGGTGCTAATGCTTCTCAGTCTGCTCAACATAAACCCAACGCCTGCCTTACTCAAGTACCAGATGGGCTCTAATTATGCTTGGTTATATGACGGCCCTGTTTACATTTGGCATTTAAAGTCCCGGATCTGGATGTTTTCCCTTGTGTACTTTCCAGTCAAAACAGCCACTTTTTCATTGTCGGGAGACAACAAATATAATAAAATCTATCAGTATTTAATATGTCTACTTTTTACTTCTGTGAATCTACTGCCATTTTAATTCCTCCATCTATCCAATCTTTAACCCAACCAGTTACAGATGTTTCCTTCCAGCAAAAGCTGTTCCTAAAGGAGTCATTGATGTTATGTTCCCCTCCAGATTCTAACATTCACACAAGCAACTACCCAAACACTCCTTGGCTGACCTTAGCTTACCAAAGACTTGATTTTGTCTAGTTTGCTGGTTATGCTAGATATCAGTGCACAACTGATTGTTTCTCCTGAAGTATAAAATGCTGTTTTCTATCTTCTTAGATGGAGGACTCTGAGGGCACAGTGAGACAGATAGGAGCCTTCTCAGAGGGGATCAATAATCTGACCGTAAGACACCAAGCTAATCATGCACACACTTTAGATCTGACCATACTGTTTCATTCTTGGTTTATATAAATTGCTTTAGCGTTTTGTTCTTTTTTTAAAGACAACAATAAAAATTCACTACATGGCCAAAAGTATGTGGACACCTGGCCATCACACTTATGAGTTTTACACCACTCCAGTTGGCACTTGCCTTTGCACATAGTGATCTTATGCTTGCGTGCAGCTGCCCAGCCATGGAAACCCATTTTATGAGGCTCCTGACACACAGTTCTTGTGCTGTTTCCAGAGGCAGTTCGGAGTTTTATAGTGAGTGATGCAGCAGAAAATAGGTGATCTTTACATGCTTCAGCACTTGGTGACCCCACTCTTTGAGTAAACGTTGTCTGCTGCTTTCTGTCTGAGCTATTGCAGCTCTTAGATGCTTCCATTTCACAATGATACCACTCACAGTTGACCAGTGCAAAACCAGGAAAGAGGGCAGAAATTTCACAGACTAACTTGAGGCAAAGGTGGCGTCCTGTGACAGTGCCATGTTTTTTCCACTGAGGTCTTCAGTATGACCAATTCTGCTGCCAATGTGTATGGAGATTGCGTGGCTGTGTGCTTGATTTTTATACACCTGATGTTAATGGATGTGGCTGAAATACCTGAACTTAATACTTAAGAGGGTCCACATGATTTTGGCCATATAGTGAGGTTAGAGGGCATGTTCTATTTGAAAGTAGCAGTTTGTGTGAAAAATACCAAACAATGTTTATACTTATCTGATTTTCTAAATTACATTTAGCCAGTCTGTGCAAGAGCTTTTTGGAGTGTTTTAAGAAATTAGTCTTCAGTGGGATCCTTGTTTGTTGGCCTGTTTACTGTGCATGGATTGCTATTTCCACAGCACTGAACAAAGCATCCATTTAATGTTGTAATTGAAAGACCTTGCACAAGCAAGTAATTTGAGTAAGCTGCAGCTGTTGGACCAAATTTAACTTTCTATTTGTCAATAAAAGGGGCAGAGGTAGAAGTGATAAAATATAACCACTCGTCTATGCCAAGGGTCCGTTACCTCAGTCCTATTAGCTGTTCTCATTCTTCAAGGCTTACTGCTCTTGGTTTTGATGTGTCCTCTAGAGCATGCTAAAAGAGGACGAACTCTTCAAGGAGATATCCTCTCGCTCTCCTGATGCCACCACAGACAACGAGTCCAGCGCGTGAGGAACCGGCCTGTCTTTCACCAGCTTAACCCATCACTCTGAAACTGGCTGATGCCTGGAGCTCCAAACATTGTACTATGCTCTACAGCCCAGTACTGTGACATTTTACTATTAAAAAGCATACACTGCGCCACCTGTGGAGAGAGTCGCAGCTTTCCAGTTCTATAAGCATACTGCGGTGCTATATGTACCTTCATAATGCCAATATATGTCAGCAAGTATGACCAAAAGTATTTTACAATAATAGTGTTATTTATTTACCTTTTACCATCTGCAGTATATGCAATGTTTCAGTATTTATGAGAAATGGTGCCAAACAGAAAAACCAAAGACTACAAATGACAACGACCAAAAGACATTTTAATAATTATTTTTCGAGTGGTTATCTAGCGCTTCTCTTTCTTATTCTCTATATTTTACTGTACACTTTGACTCCTGCATATCATTGCATGTGTTATTTTGTACTGAATGTGGACACTTGGTACAGGGAAAGTTCATTGGGAGGGGGAATAACATCCTCATTGGAAGCATTTAGCCTGCGAAGCAGTGATAGTTATGCCTTAACTATGTCAGCCCCTGTATTCACTGTTTTGAGTTATTAAAGTCAATAAAATTTTGTGAATGTTCTTAAACTGTCACGTTTGTTTTTTTCTCATTTCATCAAACCAGCAGTTAGAGACACTTAAAATGCCAAAAATAATATCTAATAGCAATTCTAATTGTTAAACAAGGTTAACCCCTTAAAACCCAGGCTTGTTACATCCTAAAGTTTATTATTCAGTAACAACATGGAGAACAATGAAAACTGGCTTATGAATTTTTAAGTTATTAATGTGTAATAAAAGTTTAGGGGGTTTATATAATGTCTGTTTAAGGGGTTAAATAGTGGGATACTATAATACACAGTACTGTGCAGAAGTTAAAAAGCTCAAGTACAAGTTTGTTTTTCAGTGTCACGGGGCGGGGGGGTGGGGGGAGCAGAAAAATATTTAACAAAGAGTGACACACAAGCCTCAACAATTCATATGATTTAATTTCAGTATTTAGTGCAGGCAACTTTTTCTTGATTATAGCTTCAATTCTTTTCAGGAGGTTTGCTTGCAATTTTTCAAAAAGATCTGCAGGGATCACACCTTCAAACTTAAGTCTTAGAAGTTGGTTGCACAATCCAAGTAATCCCAGTTACGAAAACAGTCTGTAAAACCTTACTCCACATCTCAGATGTCTAGTTTTGTTATTCTAGTGCAATTTCATTATTTTTTTTTCCCCCTTCTCCATAACAGCTTCGACAGCTGCTCATTGTTTTCTCACAGTGGAAGGATGGACAGAAACACCAGTGGAAACCTGAAGCAAGAGTGGAGCTTGAACTTCTCGTCTCTCTCTCAAAGATAAAAGCTTTAGATAAGATTTATCTAAGTGAGACTGAGTAGTTTGAATAGTTGCTTGTGTGAATTTTAATGTGTCTTTCAAGAAATAATGTCAGTGTGATTGGGAACAGCTTTTGTTGGGAGGACACAGCTGTAACCAACCAGTTTAAAGATTTAAAGGATATAAGAGTTGGAATTTAAATTTAATGGTGGTCTCGGACTTTTGCACAATACTGTGTCATCGAGATTTGTCATTTTGCCTAAAAAAATTACATTTGAGTATATTGCAATACGGATGCTTCATGCTACTTTGCTTAGGTGCTCTTCTACAGTCTGTTATCTGCCTTTCACCCATATGGCTTTACTCCATTCACTCTTCACTGCACACTTTACACAAGCTTTCAAGCCCTGTATTAGTATAGTGTGTCTGCAAACACAACTCTAATCTTTAGGTGCCACATACCAAACAGCCTTAAAGCCACTCATATTCCACATTGCTTCTCAAACTCAAATTCAAGGTTCCTCCAGTTTTTGATGTCATAGCAGGTTTCTTAGCCATAGCATTGGTTCAGTAAATAGTTGCTCTTTGAATTTTTGTTTAAATGTGTTAAACATAAAAACAGTAATGGAGGAACATTCCCCATTTTTGCTTTACAATTCAGTAAACTTCCTCAACAGATTTATAAACTGGCCTAAACACGCAAAAAAAATCTCCAACTGACAAAATGAAGCATATTCTTTTATTTGTGAAACTCGATGTGCTGCAACATACTTAATATCACTAAATGCTGGGCATGTGACACTTTTAAAAAGTATTAAAGCTTATTACACAGAACCGTATTTTTTTTATTTTGACAACAAAGTAAGCAGTTTCTGTGTTCAAAAAAAACCTCACAAAAGCCAGCTGCTGTGGAAAGGCTGGGCCTTCACTGTGATGTTCAATGTGTGCTGGTTAAGCACACTTTTCCATAACACAGGTTTTTTTAGAGTGATTTTTATCTTACTTTGAAATAGTTATATTCTGTCATGCTATAAGGTAAGTAATTAAGGCACTTAAAAAAAAAAAAAGGATGGACAAATTTATTCTTTTGGTGTCATTAAATGACAAGCTGAATACAAACGCAAACCCAGATACATTTCCATTACTGAAATAATAAACAAGTGCTTCAAAAAAATTCCAGAACACTGTAAATACTTTATATGATATGCTGTTGTTATTCAATTAACCAGTGTTCAGTTTGTATTTAAAAAATGCATTACATGCCTTACAAAAAAAAGCATTATGTATAATAGTATTGATTTAGCATGTAAAAAGTGCAAATAAAACCTGTTTTTTTCCCTAAATTCTGCAGGGACAAATAATCTATTCCTTTTCCACACTGATAATACACATTTATCTGACAAATAATCTAACCTCTCTTTTACATTTGGTTCAGAGATTCCTTGATTGCATACTCAAACAAAGTTGCTGATGGCAATGACATTGGATCATGACCCTGGACCTTTTCAGTATAACGGCCTCTTAACTGGGTCCCAGTATTAGTGCGTTTTCTAGAAGGTGAAGCGCCTGCTAGGAGAATGGCCCACTTTGTCCAAGTTCGGGTTGCAAGCAAACTGGATCATGGGAGGAGGGCCACACATGAGGATGAGCGTGTCGTCTCCGGGGGGAGGAAGTCGGTTCCGCACCATCTCCTCACTGATGAAACCCTGGCTGAATTCCCAGTCTGTCACATGCAGATTAACAAGAAGATCAGTGATCACAAATTCATCTTGTGCAATCATTACTTTTAACTATAACTGATGACTTGTTGAGAAATGATACACTATATGGCGAAACATACGTAGACACCCCTCCTATTTACTGAGTCTCAGGTGTTTCAGCCACACCCATTACTAAAAGGTGTATAAAATCAAGCACGTAGCCATGCAATCTCTACAGACATAAAATTGTCAGTAAAATGAGCTGTACTGAAGAGCTCAGTGACTTTAAACGTGGTTTTGTTATAGGACGCCACCTTTGCCACAAGTCAGTTCAGAAATTGCTGCCCTGATGGATCTGGCTCGGTTGACCGCAAATTTTATTATTGTGAAATAAAAATGTCTAGGAGCAACAACAGCTCAGCCATGAAGCAAACTCACAGTGGGACTGCCAAGTGATGAAGCGTCCTGAAATGAGTTTTAACGGCTGAGCAGATGCAAACAAGCCTAAGATCACTATCCCCAATGCCAAGCATCGGTTGGAGCCGTGTACAAAGACATTGCAGACAATTATCTGCTTCCAACTTGTGAAAAAAGTTTGGGGAAGGCCCTTTCCTGTTCCACCTTGACTGTGTCCCTCCGTATAAAGCAAGGTCCATAAACACATGGTTTGGTGAGTGTGGTGTGAAGGAGCTTCAGCGGCCTTGTTGGTGTTTGCGGCCTTGGGGTGTTAAAATGTAATGCATTGATGTCAAGATATTGATTCAACTGTATTTTGGAATGTTCTTATCAATTAGATCAGTGGTTCTCAATCCTGGGCCTGGAGTACCACTGGTCTGCACATTTTAGAATTCCCTGCTCCCAGCAAACGCGATGCAACAAATGTACTGATATACAATCCCTTCCTGAGGTGATCAGAGTATGTCAGAGCAGGGAAAACATTACAAGGCTGTGTTATTCTATGACTAGGACTGAGAACCACTGGACTAGCATTATATTCAATATAATATTCAACAAATTATGCACCAACTGCAATGCATTCTTCAAGCCCTAACAACCAAAAGCAGGCCTAACCTGTACCTTCTTATATGTCAAATAATCTAACAGTATCTACAGTTGTTTTAAGAAACTATTAAGTCTATTTTTATTAATTTCTATAAAACCATGTGAAGTTTTATTTCTTTCATATAGCAGTCAATCTTTATTGAATTCAGGAAAATAAAACACTTCAACTGAAGGCTCTACTTACCCTGAGGAACCTTGTCAAGGGTGTACCACAGGTTGAATCGGTCAGGGTGATTGGCCTGAATTTCCTCCAGCTCTGGGCGCAGAAGAATGTCTTTTTCTGACTGTGAGTGGATAGGGAAAATAGTTTACTAGGAATAATTAAAGGATTAAATATAGTGGCAGGCTATTTCCATGAGGTGCCATAAATGCTGCCCACAGATGTCTGGAAAAAGAATTCACTCTCTGTTCTATATGAATATGAATTTCTAAAACACAATGGCTTACCTGGTTTGCAAAAAGCAAGTAACACACTGTCTGGTCTTTTGGATCCTTCATTATTGCTCGAATGATCTGTAGCATAGGAGTAATACCTGGAGAGGGCACAGATGAAACCATCAAGTATGCCAATGCATAAGGAACACGTTCTTAAATCTACATGTCTTGTATTGTGTATAATAACATAGTATACACCAGTCCAGTGACAACTAGATGTTTTTGCATGAAATTCAACAAAGAAAATATTGTGTAGAACAGCAAGAAGCATAATACACAATCAAGGATGACAAATAAATATTAATAGAAATATGAAAATAAATAGATTACCTGTTCCTCCTGCAATCATACCAACACGTTTTGCATTCTTAATCACTGCGGGTGACTTCTTGTCAGGTCTGATGGCAAATTCTCCTGAGAAGTGAAAGTAAATAATTAAGGTTACTTATAAAGGTACTCACACACAATAGCTACACCAAAAAACAACAAATAAAAGAATGAACAATGCACAATATCCATGCATCCTGTGTTTACAGACTGTTCAACCTAACAGAATAATACTCACAAAAACTGCAGCTAAATAAGTGCCATTTTCTGCATTAGCTGGTTACATACTGTTCATATACTCACAATGACATAATATGACCTCATACTAAACATTATCCTAATTCAGAATCATGTTGAGGCTGTGCACAGAAGGACAAAACATCCATGTCTTTGCTTTGAGTAACTCTCCACCTTTGCCCTGGTAAACTAGCAGGCCACTTGGTCCTCTGAAGTCAATTGTGTCACCAATCCGAAGACTGTCCAGGTATTGAGACATCTTGCCACCTTCAGGGAACTTTGGGTGAGTATTCTTATAGTATATCTAGAAAAGAAAGAAAGAAAACACAGGAATGCTGCAGTTGTCTACTGAATATGAATAAGTAAATGAGTTAAGCCAAGAAAAAGATTATGGTAATGCTTTTCTACAATTTTTTGGGCCCATGTCCTACAGTTTTCTTGGATTTCTCTTTTTTTAGGTCCACTTCTGTCATTTGTGTGAGTTTATTTACCAAAAGCAGGCAAAATTAAACGGTACATAACCATGTTCCAGTCTCTCTTCATGTCTTAGTATTAAACAGACTTTTTTGTTACTGAGCCTTAAGGACTGACATATGCACATGATCTATATTCTGACTGACTGTCCTGTATTGTGCCTGCACAAATGCATTGATTGTTGTGACATTAGAAAACAACAAATTCAAAACGGCAGCGTATTTTCCAAACAAAGTCATGAAAGTCCTAAGCCCAGTTCTTCATAGCTGACTAAATTACATGGTAAACTCTGGAGAACACAGCGCCAGTCTCTTAACCACCACCCTTAATCTTAAATCTGCTTCAATAATTTTTAGCTTTATAAATCTTGTGAAACAGTCAAGTTAACCTTTCAAAATCATTCAAATTACCAAGTTTGGTCATTTTTTTTTTATTTAAACAATGGCTATCATATGGATAGTTAGCAGGCTGTAAAAACAGAGCCCTGGGTCAGCATTGTTTTGGCAGTTCCTGACAACCTACCTTAACGACCAGATCCACAAAGCCCTTATCATCATCACTGGACACTGGAGTGTAAGGCCTCACTACAAGGCTACCATCTATTTTTGCAGACAGGTAAATGTGTTGACCTGCAAGCATATAACATAACAGATAAATACACAAAGTCATACAGAAGGGGCACAATATCAATCCAGCAGTCAGCTGTAGTCAAATTCATGTTGAACTTACCCACAGGAAGCCCCAAAACATGATCTGGAGATCTCAGAGCGAAGCGAAACTTCCTAGTGTCATGACTAATAATCTAAAAGAAAAAATGAGTGAACTTTCAAAAAGTTTGGTCAGCAACAAAACAATCATTCCAAAGGACAATGATTTGAAAACACTGATAAACATTAAACATAATACCCACCTCTTTATCTACTAGGCGCAAAGGGTACTTGACATTGGGGTCCTCAAGGGTTATGGCAGGTCTTCTCTTGATGCCTAAAAGCCTCATGATTAAGCTGAAGATTCCGTCAAAGGCATTACGAAACAACTGCAGACATTAGAACAAAGTTTGTCTGATACAGGGTAACATGTCTAAACATTCACTACATGGCCAAAGTTTGTCTACACCTCTTCATCTGTTTTTTTTTTCCTCCTCTGAAATCAAGAGTATTAATAGGGTGTTTGTTTCTGGGAAGGCTTTACACTAGATGTTGAACCACTGCTGTGAGGATTTCAATGCATTCTGCCACAAGAGCATTAGTAATGGTGGATCATTAGTTTTGAAAAACAAATAGCACTCCAACTCATGCCAGAGGTATAGAATAGGGCTTCATCACTCCTGAGAATGCAGTTCCACTAACCAGGCCCAGTGCTGGAAGGCTTTAAACCCCTTTAGCTGCCACTCGGCATTGGTCATCGTGACCGTAGGCTCATGTGCAGCCACACCAGAGTGTCTGATTCTATTGGCAATGCTTGTCTACAGATTATACAAGCTGTTTATGCAGTTGATTGCATATGTGAGCAACATGTACAGCTTTAAGTAGTTGAACTCACTGATTAGAAGGGATGTCTGAATACGTCTGTACATAAAGTACACTAGCAGTCTGATGAAGAAAACTAGCTACTGACTACAATCTTGTACTGCAGCACTTGAGTCCTTGTCTAGGGTTGAGTCTTCATAAGAAAGATGCTAAGAATACTGGCGCAAAGATACCAGACAAGCCACATACAACTAAGTACTCAAAACGTGTTTAGCTTTGAATTAAATGAATTAAATGAATCAAATGAATGTCGCATCTAGGTCTGGAAACACGCACCCTTGTTGTTGCTAGCTAACTACTGAACACAGGCTGCAGGTGAAAGTAACTTGCAGTAGCTAAACGGCTCGGTCTGAAAGCTGCACAGCGTGTTTAATGTAAACAATGAAGTTTTAACTTACTATTTTAAACTACCCATTGAGCTAACTATGTTGCTTAACTAGTGCCGTCAACTATATCGCGAGGTTATTAAGAAACACTGCCAGCAGGTAGCAAGCTACTTTTAATTTAAGCTACACCCCTAATAAGAATAAACAGTTAGCTTACGTTAGCTAGCCAGCTGCGTTACATTACATTCATATGCTAATACAATACATACCGTCAAAATGAAAGACATCCTCTTTCCGTTACTAGCTAAACCCGGCCGAAGAGTCGATGTGTTTATTTATTTTAGAACTAATGCTTTCTTAGCACAGTGTACTAAAACTTTCCTGACAGGCTGGCGAACTGTCAAAGTTGCAGCCTTAGCTTAGCGAGCTAACAGCTCCTGCGCGTAGCTTCCTTGTTTCTTTGAGGGCTGGTGATGTCTGATTCGTGAACGAATCGTTCTATTGAGCCGGTTCTTTTGAATGAAATAGTCGAACTGATTCTAAAGTCCAGCCGATTCCAACTTTTCTGCAGCCCTGTGTTAATGGAGAATTGTTTTGATGCTACTCAGTTGGTCCCCTCCCCAGCACACTCCCCGCACGAGAATGAATCAGCTGAATAGGACGTTGGATTCACGGAAACGAGCAGCTCCGAAGAACCGGTTCGGTAAAATGAATCAAACGTTCCATGCGAGTTGAGGAGCCGCTCCCAGAGACAGCAAAGATTATCTGACAGCACGTCCACTGCTGACACGTCACGCTAGAAGGGAAAGCGCAGATCTATGCCATCTGCTGGTATAATATCTTTGACCTCAGTGAAAAAAATACAGCATAGTGTACAAATCAACATTATCTTATTTATAGCAAAATACCTGAGAAACTTTTCTGAGAAAATACCAATTATTATTATTTTTAAAACAAGTCCATGTAATTATCTTGGAAATCTAAAGCACAATAAACATTGCACAGCCCTCAAAACCTGTAATATCTGTACGTCTTTTCTGATATTCTAGCCATAATGCTTATTATTCCCCTGTATAATCTTTTTTCTGTTTATTTTTATTTAGCTCTATGCTGCTGTTGTCTTGTTAACATTGTCGTTACTGTAGTATGAGTATTTAAAGTGTGTGTGTGTGTGTGTGTGTGTGTGTGTGTGTGTGTGTGTGCGTGTGTGTCATAGTTATATAACTAACTAATGACACTAATGTCTTGGTGCTGGCTATTATAGTCACATAATCCATGAGAATGACATTGTATTCCATTTTGGGCAAACACTTGAAAAAACTGTATTTCTGTCAATCAAAACAGAATATTACACATGTCAGGATGCACATGTCTTCTGAGTTTTATATTTAATGCTGATAATTGTAACATTGTGTGAAATCTGAAAGTTTACTTTGGGCATTATTTTGCTCAGCCACACACTTTTTTACATTACACCAATAAAGCCATTTGCTTTTGATCACAAGGTCTCTGAGGAACTTGTTCGCTCTAATGACACACATCACATCCAGGAATAAACACAAAAAACATGATACTGTCCCAAATTACCTGAACTCACACTATTTGAGGGTTTTTGCATTGATGAATAGTTGGTAAAAGTTGTCACTACAAGGTATTTACTTATTGTAATCTTTATAAATCCTTAAAACCATAATGCATAACAATCATATCATTAGGAGATTAGTTTATTGAAAAAGTGACAGTACAGGTCTCAAACATAGACAGAGATACAGGTTGGGTCCAACAGTAAATGAATTCCAGCCATGTTTTATTTAACCAACATCTCAAATTGATTAAAACCTCTGTGTAAATGCAAACCTCCAGTTTTATAAGCTGATATTTGTGTGGTATCACAACTGTGACAGAACTGTGATGATCTATTCAAATTAATTAAACAGTTAATAATGAATGTTTGCACCAGTAAACTGAAATGTATTACACAAATAAACTTATACGGCCAGAACGTTTTGTGTATTGAATATCAAAAATAAAAATAAAAAAAACATATGTCATCTGTTCAAATGTGTCAGTGCTCTTTCTTCCATTACTACCTTTAACTAATTATCCACCTCTGTCTTGGTAAACTAACAGGCCGTTTAGGCATCTGAAGTCGACTGTGTCACCAGACTGACTGTCCAAGTATTGAGACATGCTGCCACCTTCAGGCCTTCAGGAATTTTTTGAGGAATATATTTGTAGCACATCTAAAAAAAAGAAAGAAAGAACACCATCATTTCATTAATATGAAGCCAAGAACAAAATCATCTTTGACACTTTTGTGTGAAAAAAGAACAGCACTGTGTGATCTCCACTCCCTAAAACGTTTAACATGTTGATTTGCAAAACATTTTGGTCCTTACTGAGTTAACTGACCAACTAAGTATCTGCTATTTCATCAAAATCCCTGTGCTTGTTGTCTGAAGACCTCCAGTTAAACTATTACTCTTAATACCAAATCTGCTTAATTCATTTTAACTTTAGCAATCCTGCAGGAAAGTCAGGTTAAGCTCACTTCAGTTATTCCAGTTATATACTGCAATCTTCCATAAATAAAACCCACCATAGCCACCAGGTCCATAAAGCTTAATAATCCTTGGACACTGAAGTGTAGGTCATCACAAGGCTACTCTATGTTTTTGTTTTCTGACCTGCAAGCAGAGAACAAAACAGGTAAAGAGGCGAAGCCAGACAGACCGAGATCATATCAGTGCATCTCTGAACTGTAGCTGAATATACAACCTTCCAAAAGTGATCCAGTAGAAAATAAAAGTGTGAACCCAGCTCTCCTGAACCTGAAAAAAAACATATAACGTGTGAATTATTACAGTTTCAAGACACTCCCATTAATGGATGTCAAACAAAAAACAAGCTGGCTAGCGTTAGCAGTTCATTGACCTTGGCACCTTCCCTACAGAATCACATTGGTATAAAAACTAATTAGCTGGTTAATGAGCTGTTTACTGAACAAACACGTTCCCTACAGAATCACATCACGAAACTTTTGCTTTTGCTTTTGCTCCACCTCAGGGGGTAAAAGCAATAGAGCAAAAGTCCAGCTCTGCTGTTCAATCAGTGCTTCTAATTCAGAAGTGAAAAAAGCTACTGAACATTATTGACAACAATTACTACACATACTGATACTAAGGTTAGTTTAAACGTGCAGCGCTAGTGAGGAGAAATAAGCTAATGTTACGTAGATTACATTACACATAACTGCTAAGATACATACTGCCAAAACATAAGTCATCATCTTGGTTGTGAGAGATGATAGCCTGCCACAGCTGAAGAGCCGATATTCTTATTCTATAACCAAGACGTCGCTTCACACACTGAGCTCAGCAAAAGCTTCCAGTCGGACTGATGAACTATCAGAGTCTAACTGAGGTAACTAACAGCAAACCCCATCCTCCACGGAGCTTCCTGGTTACTTGCTGATTATTAATTTCTGTATTTACATATTTATTTGTTTAATGGGTTATATACAGTGGGGCCTAACAGCCTAAGACCACTAGTTAAAATGCTTCTATGTGCATTTCTTTTTAATTTATTATGAAGTCTTTAAGTTCGAGTAAGAAGTAGAATATTTGAGACATCTACAGGTAGTTTAACATTTCTTAATATTTTGTAAGTCTCTCTTTGACTTTAATGACAGAGTTAAAGCTGGCATGGACTCAACAAATTTGTGCTCACACCTCGGATCACCAGATCAGATCCACCTGAAAGTCTTCTGAACACAAGCTTCATTGGAAGAGGTAAGACTTAAAAAAGTCTGGTCAAGGTCACAAATTTGCTTGCATTTGAATAGAGAGCTAGAAAAAAAACGAATATAAATCAACAAAGCATTAATTTAAAAAAAAGCACGATCTGATAGTTCGTATTTGTTGTGTTATGCTAATTTGTCAAATGATTAAACTAATTTTCCAAGGTTAATATAAAAATATTTTCCAATATTTTATATAAACAACTCTCAGGATAAGTGTAAATCTTTATTAGACGGGTGCAATATCCTATTATACCAGTGCAGTGCTACCTGTGTTATCCACTCAGAAGTTACTGGCTGTTTTGACATAATGCTGATTTGCCCTATGAGGCTCACAACAGACTCTTTTCAAACTTCCATAATTCCATGCAGTAGAAGTTGCTATAGTAGAGAAAAGCTTTGCATCAGCAGCAACATTTATGAATGAGAATGTGGACAAAGTCCTCCTTTATAATGCCTTTGATGCAGAGGATTCGTTTATTTTTATGTCCTTATCAAGGCATTTGCCTAATTTTTCCATGAGAGACATTGTACGTTTAGTGGAACAGCTTCATTTCCGACCTCTTCCGACCTCTGCTGCATCAAATATGGAAGTGTGAAAAAGGTCTTTTTCTCCAAGTGGCTGCAGCAACTCCATACTATGACATTTGATATGGCTGAGAGACTCAAAGGACTGAAGTATCATCATACTGGGCAACTGCATCAGAGGTTCACCAAGGCTTTGAATGCCTTTGGGATAAATGCTATGGAGAACAGAGACAAAATAATCCCACAAGGAAGCTGTTATTCAGAAAACGCATCGTCTTAGAGTAGTCTCATTCTCTCCCTGCCTGTGGACTTGGGTCTGTTCACTGCAATTAATACTAACATTATTTAAAAATATAAATAATTAAAACAATTTAAATAATAGAAATATTTTATAATCAAAATATTAGATCTGCTAATTTTTATCGGGAATGGGACACTACATGACATTGTTTGAGAAATGTCATTTTGAAGATTATTTTAGTTAGAATAATTAAGTTGCCTCCAGTAGCCCCATGACCCTGGAGGATAAACGGCTTAGACAATGTGTGTGTGTTTGTGTGTGTAAGTTGCACTAGATAACATACTTTGTTATACACTGAACATTCATTTATATCTATATTGTTGGTGGGATGTGAAATGTGCTTATATGTGCAATTGTCAGTTCAAATGAATGGCAGTTCATTTTAAACACAATGGATATAAATACATTTCATTATGCTCTTTCCATGTATTAAATATCAGTAATCATATGCTCCCATATGTCTAGAATTTTGTCTGGAAGTCTTTCTGTAGTCCTGTTATCGCTTTTGAAATATTAAAATCATATCCCCTGCACTTTAGGAGCTATTACTATAGTTCTGAAAATTTTTAAGTGAACCTTATTTCTTTCAAGAATACTTGTGGTAGTCATGACCATGCTATAGATTCCTGTTGCTGCTGCTGAGCACTTTAGGATAGGATGCTCTAGTTTTTATTTACACCTGTTGCTCTCTGAACTTGGTTTGCTCTTTATTTTACATTTTAAAAGTTAGTTAATTAGACAAAAGATGCTAAATAAAATAATAAAATATGGTATTCGAAAACAGACTGAAATACTATGAGCTAGACACCAGGAGGTATTTCTTTTTTTTTTTTAATTTTTCAATTTTTTACCCGTTTTTCTCCCCAATTTAGTCGTCTCCAATTCCACCCGCTAGTTAGGACTCCCCCAGTCACACGACGCTATCAACGCTAGGAGAGTGAAGGCTAACACAGGCTTCCTCCGAGACCTGTGAAACCAGCCACCGCATCTTTTCGAGCTGCCGCTCACGCAACGTCATTGGACAGCTGAACGCGCTCGGAGGAAAGCGCCAACCGCCAGATCTGTTACGTCAGCTAACAGACGCCTGCGCTGACTAGCATCGCGCTGAGTGAGTGATGGGGGGAGAAAGGCATCCATCCCACCCACCCAGAGAGAGCGAGGCCAATTGTGCTTTCTCGGACTCCCGGCTACGGATGGCTGTAGCATCACCAGGGATCGACCTCGCGATCTCCTGATGAACCAGGAGGTATTTCAAGGTGTTTTATTAAGGGATTTTTGAAAAGTCAACAAGTAATTATCTATTTATAATAAATTCAATACTTAATATACAGTATTTTCCACCTGAGATTTATCACTTTTCAAATAAGTGGATGTTCATTTTATCATAACTTCATGCTCAATGTTTTACACCTTTCTCACTCATTACAGAATCATCTACAGATCTGTCCATCGTTCTGGACACATGTAGAAGTTCTTCATTGTTTACAGTGTCTAAAAAATAGTTGAAATCTGTAGTAGAGTTGTAGTATCATAATTGAAATATTTCATTTATTTTATTATTTGATTGGGACATTTTTTAATTGCATTGAAAACCGTGACCTCAAAGATATAATTACTAGTGGATATGCAGTTGTATGGAAAAAAGGTTTGTGCACCCCTAGTCAAATGACAAGTTTAGCAGTTTTTTTTTTTTTTTCAAGTGAAAATAGCATCCTTTAACATCTTCTACAGGGAACACACATCAGCACATTTTAATTCACAGTTACTGCTTACATGCTGAATTCAACATATATGAAAATAGAGTTAGGGATCCAGCCTTGTGACCAGAAGGTCGCCGGTTCGATCCCCTGAGCTGACAGTGCATGGCTGAAATGCCCTTGAACAAGGCATCTAACCCCAGGTCATAACAAAAATGGAACGTATATAAAAACAGCAATGAAAAAGTAAAGTGGGCATGGAAGATAAAAACACCAGTCACAGTTGTCAGGTTTGAACATTAGTATTTAGTTCCAGGAGGACTTTACCTCAGGTTAATATATTTAATGAAAGTAAAAATACACATAAAGCAATTCTACACATTAACGTTTTAAATAACTATTTATTTCACCAGTACAGCACATGACATGTGTGTGTGTGTGTGTGTGTGTGTGTATGTATGTATTTACACCGATCAGGCATAACATTATGACCACCTCCTTGTTTCTACACTCATTGTCCATTTTATCAGCTCCACTTACTATATAGGTGCACTTTGTAGTTCTACAATTACAGACTGTAGTCCATCTGTTTCTCTGCATACTTTGTTAGCCCCCTTTTACCCTGTTCTTCAGTGGTCAGGACCCCCATGGACCCTTACAGAACAGGTACTATTTGAGTGGTGGATCAGTGGTGGATCACTGCAGTAACACTGACGTGGTGGTGATGTGTTAGTGTGTGTTGTGCTGGTCTGAGTGGATCAGACACAACAGTGCTGCTGGAGTTGATATGATAGAAGGAGATGTTAATGGACATATTAAGATTACACCTGAATTCCCACTCCAATGACCCTGATGCACTTTATTAGCACTCAGCCACTTTATTGTGAAACTTTAACCTCACTTTAATTGTACATTTAACCTTTAATCTATACATTGTCTGCAGTTTTGTCTTTCTGGTCATGTTACTTGGTTGTTATCAGTGCACCAATAAAACATATGCACAACTATGATTGCAGCTGTGGACCAACTATTATTTTTTTCCCTATTGTCCTGTGCTTAATGATTGTACAGTTGTATATTGTGCAGAAGATAGATGCTTATAGATGGTCAGACACCAGACAAAAAGACTCACGACCAAAACCATGTCTCTGATGAGGTTGGATAACAATACTTTACAAATATACAGATTACTGTTATCTAGCTGCTCATGGTTGTTAGAATTTTGGCTGTAACTGAAAAAAGTGGTATTTTGTGTGTAAAACAGTTAAAACTTTTAAAAAAGTTTGGCTCAGTCAGAATAAGAAAGAAATTCTACTAAATGACTACTATATTCGATTAATTTACACTTTTATGTAGCTCTATTTTATAGATTACATTCCAAGAACTATCATTATCAATAAGGAGGTGCAGTTATATGTTCCAAAACAGGACAAATAGGAAAGAAAAGATGAAGATAACCTAACAAAAGCTCAGCCAGTTTGCACTGAAGTCCCTAGTTACTGAATAGTAAGCCTTAGTATGTAATAAGCCTGGGATCTTAAAGGGTTAATCAAGTCTGTGATCCTTACACAGCTTGTCAGTGCCACCTCGCTGGCTATTGCTGTGTTCTATGATATCTTATTGCTGTAATTGTTTTAATCTTATAAACAGTCCTTTAATACTGCATTTTTTATTGTTGCAGAACAGTAATATCAAAGTTCTCCTTCGTTGAAAAGTTACTTTACATAGGTTAACAGATGAAGTACTGCATTTTTATAAGTTTTACAGTATCTTTCAACCTGAAACTGCAAGAGATTTAGGGTAAAAAAATGTAAGATACAATTTTGTTGTATTACTTTGATTTAGCTGTATATACATATATATATATATATATATATATATATAAATATATATATATATATGTATGTATGTATCTATTTATGTGCATTTTATACCTAAAGTTATTTATTTATATTTTTATACCTAGTTATTAAAGCGTTTAATTCTATTTCAGTTATTAAAATTGTACTGCACTGGTTGGTTACATTTTTTAAAATAAATAAACATAATTATAATAATTACACATTTTCATGTTTTGAGGTAATACAACCTGATGCGGTAAACTGAACCATTCTAACCATGACTCAAAAATGGCATTTTTTTTTTGTAAAAGGGCTGCTGACCTTGGTATTGCACCATGAATGTCACATGAGGTCTTCTTTGTGATGCCATACCCTGGCCCCTCTTTTATTAAAGCGTGTTAAAATAAAAGTCCTCTGGTTTTGGTTGTGCCATGTGACATCTGAGGAAGTAAGAACTTGCAGACAAAAGTTTTTTAGTGAGTTTAGAATTTTTGAAGTTGCCTTATTTTGCAACGTGGTTTTTATTTTAAAGTTTTCGAACATAAAATCTCGCCAAACTATATTAAACGAAATACTCACCTTTTCTGACAGTTTACTTAATCAACATATATGGTTTTACAGTTGCACCCCCTGAATTTTTTAGAATTTATGAGGCAAAACAAACTAAAATGAATTGTATATGGATGCACTGAAAATTGTTTCACATAAAAGAGACTTGGTTGAATAATGTGATATAGGTCATGTATTTATTAAATTATTTTTGGTAAAATAGTAGACTTAATGCACGTCCTGTCAATGACAGTAATGCTACAGCAAACAACTTTATGGCATCAGTATGTTTTTTTGACTGAGTGGCCACAAATTCCCACAGACACTCTCCAAAATTTTGTGGAAAGCCTTCACAGAAGAGTGGAGGCTGTAATCACCTTTAGATGAAACTGCGTCCAGAGAGCAACAGGTGCAAAGAAACACTCTTCACATGTGTGAAACTGCTGCATGAGAAAAACCTTGAGGAGCTCAGACCTGCAGCGCCCACTCCGCCCCCACCCCGTTTATGGGCGGCTCCGGAGAGTGTTGTTACAGTTATAGGTGAAATTTACATGTTATCATCCTCTCACACAGAGCTGATCGAGTCGTAAGGAGAACAGTCTGTAAAGAGCGCTCAGGGAGGAGGAGGAACCTGTGAGAATGGCTAAAGGGTGAGAAACACTTACAGAGACTGTAGTGCAGCGCGGTTCATTCGCACCGCTGTGGAGTTTTTGTTTATATCTAGTTTTGTAGTAGAGCTCACAGAGACGCGCTTCCGCGTGTACCTGAGGAAAACAAGCACGACGATAAAAACTCCATTTAATGTGGTTTTTAGCGGTAGATTTTGTTAAGAACTGTCGTTAAGAGTTACGAACAAAGTGTGTCGGAAAAACATCCCACTCACAGAACTGTATTAGATCTGAAATCTTTCAGTTTCTGTTAAGTGTGCTTGGCTCTCTGTAGCGGTTTGTCTTCCTGTCAGGCGTGTTGAACATGGCACCGGCGGTTAACTCGACACTGTTGCGGCTTCAGAGGCGATAACGGCTTTAACAGCAGGATTCACACGTCAAGGGATACAGCTATCTTTGCTATATCGAAATAAACCTGATTTGCTTCAAATGACCTCACCATGTCACCAAAATAATGACCAATTCTGTGTCAGTTGTTTGTGTCTTGTAGACGTTTCGTGTTGAACAAGCTGTGTTTAATCTGTTGACTTCTAATGGTCGAGAGAGTTCAGTATGTTTCATGTGTAACGGTAAAACAGGCTGTGATGGGTTTGCTGAAGGAGTGAGAAACTGCTTAAATAAACGGTTAGTCAGAGAGCAGCTTAGGTGGAGTCTTTTCACACAGACTAAAGGCCTCAGGCAGTGAAATAATGAGGCTGCTGAGAGGCTGAGAACACAAAGATGTGATGTCTCAATATCAGCTTCATTTCTCTGTGCACTATTCTTTATAAGCATGCTCAGCAGTCCAGTGTGTTCTGGTGGTACATTATATGTCCAAAAGTTTGTAGACGCCTACTTATATTAATTCCTTTCATAATCAGGGGAGTTTGTCCTCTTTTGCTGCAGCAACAGCCCAGACACTGCATTCAGCCTTAGCATTAGTGAGATCAGGTACCAGTGTTTGTCGATTGTGGGTTCTCCTTTTGTATGCACAACTGTGTCAGCAATAAGTAAAAATAACAGAATTCACTAATTAGAACAGGCGTCTGAATACTTTTGACCATGTTATGTTGTATTTAGTATCTGTTCTGGTGCCCCATATTCATTTTTATTGTTTTTCTATTTCAGTTAACTCTCAAAATGAATGTTTCGCTAATGATTCAGGCGTTAAAGGGGAATTCTAGAATTTTAATGAATTTATTTTATTTTATTTTTTAAAATGTTTGCTTAAATTAAATGGAGTGGTCTGTTGTGAAATGTGCCATTCTAGAGAAAGAGGTTGTGATAGAAACCAGATGTCTAAAGAGTTGAATGCCACTAAAAGTAGCACTGCACAGAAAACGTTGACATGATATGGCTATGAATACATTGCCTACATTGACTTCTGAAGCTTTATTATATGATAGTTCTGAGAAAAGGTTTTGGCCTAACATTAACTTTTTAACCCCTTAAAATCCCAGGCTTGTTATGTACCGAGTCTTATTATTCAGTAACTACAGGGACCTCAATACAAACTGGCTGAACTATTCTTAAGGTGTACATGTGTGTTATACATGTGTGTAATAAAATTTTGGGACTGCCGGTGGGCCCTGGCCATTTAAGGGGTTAAACACCATTCGGGAAGAACTGTACATGCAAGGTGTCGTAAGTGATAATAATAAATAGTGAAAAACAGTAAATAGAAGAAAACGTTTTTTCAGATTCACAAAATTTAAGATTTATTTTGCCATTAATATTATACGTAAAAACTCAAAAGTCATGTGTAGGTTCGCTGGTCATTTTGGGTAGTAAATAAAATGGCTTATATTTGCATGTAGACATTGTGACCCCTGGTTCCTATCACCACTGTAAAGAAATCTGAGTAAAGTTCACAACAACACACCATTTCACATTAAACCACTCTGAATGACTTTGTTTGCATGTCAATGATTGAATTAGGCAGAAATGAAAAAGAAATGAAATTTGGGAAATTAAAATGGGCTAAGAGCAGGCATGTCATAAGCATAGCATATCATGTCGTAAATATATGATGATATCACTATATTGTTGTAATTTTCAAAATATGATATCTCAACATCTCATGTGTTAACGGAATTGAAGGATAGTTTAAAATTTAGTTCTGCGTTTGAATCCTTGCAGTCCTGGTGTTGATCAGGAACTCTCAGAAGTCCTGAATGAGTTGTGGAAGCTGGATGTCAACCGCCTGAAGCCTGGCAGAGATTATACTATCAATCTGCAGGTAAGACTCAGCACAACTGTATCTCAGACAAGATGATAAACCTCTCACTGTTCAACTTTCTGTGTCTCACTAAAGGCGTTAGAAGCTGATAAAGACTGCAAGATGACACAATCTTAATCAATGTTGATTAATATAAGCAAAGGTTCCCTAAGTCTTTTTATTTTGTGGTAACATGTTTAATATAATCTGAACTGATAAACACGGAATGTCACATTCTTTTGTTCTCAGGGCAAAGCTGATTATGTGGCCCAGGGCAGTAATAATGCACGAGACAAGGCAAACGCTCCTCTGTTCTCTTATGTCAATGAGGACAAGCTCAAAAGTATTGCCACTTATGCTCGTAAGTGTTCTATTTCTTCAGGCTACGAAGTGCTCAAAGTTAGTTGTTTTACAATTACATTCACTGCCAGTTTGAAAAGGATATTGATAGTCTGTAAGATTTTCAGTGTCTTTCATATGGGACGTTACTATTTTACCATTAGCATTTCATTTTGTCTTGAAAGTTGTGCATTTTTTATATCTGTTCCACTGTTCCATCAGGCTTCATAAACCTCTTGGACAACTATGAGATGTCCACAGGTGTGGCTGAGAAGGTGACAAGTGAGGAGCTGGAGGAGAATGACCTCTTCCTTGATGCTATTCTAAAGACAGAGGTCATGAAGGTAGCCCTCCAAATCACACTTTCTGAGTTTGGTACAGTAGCTTGTCTGTTGAGTGGTTAACACCATGCTTTTATCTTTCAGCATACCCACAAGTATTTAGTCAGTAAAGGCAAAGCCAATTCTGACACTGCCCAGTTTAAAAAGCAGCTCTTTGACATCTGGTTCAAGCTCTATAACAGAGACAGAAGTGGGGGGTGAGTCTAACAAAACACAGAACACATGTGCCATATTTGCATTACATGTCCAAAAGTTTGTAGACACCTGCTTATCCAGCATTTCTTCTGAAACCAAGGAGAATTTTTCCCCTCTTTGCTTCCGTAATTGCCTGTACTCTTCTGGGAAGGCTTTACACTAAATGGATTACTGCTGTGAGGAGTTGAGCATTAGTGAGATCTTACATGTTGGATGATCAGTTCTGGATCACACCACTCCAGCTCATCCCAAACATAACTGATGGTTCTCCGTCACTCCAGAGAAAACAGTTTTTACTGCTCCACAGCCCAGTGCTGAGGGACTTTCCACCCTTCTAGCTGACATTTGGCATTAGGCATGGTGGTCATGTGCAGCTGCTCCAGAGCATAAATTCTATCCTGTGTTAGCAATGGGTGCTCCTTAAATTAGCTGAATTCACCCATTAGGAGGGGTGGCCGGATACTTTTGGACATACTTAGCAGTTTTCTGGGTTGCCATGGTAGCCACTAGTTGGCATCATCTAAAATTTGGCCACAATTAGGAATTTCTGGGACAACGCTGGTCCATCATACTGACATTTTGAATTTTATTCAAATAGCTTTTAACAGCCAGAAAAAAAGGACTTTTCTTTAAGTCATTATCTAGAAGAGGATTTGTAAATGTGCACCAAGTCATGAAGCAGAATCTCATATCTACACAATTGAATTCATGTGCTGAGTATTTGTGATTAAGTGAAGGTGATGAGTTCATTTTGGCTTCACTGTTTTCTCTCTATTTAGTGAAGACTCGTGCGGATTTGAGCATGTGTTTGTTGGTGAGACCAAATACGGTAAAGAGATCATGGGCCTTCATAACTGGGTCCAGTTTTACCTGCAGGAGAAGCTGAAATTTGTGGACTACAAGGGCTTCAAGGGTGGAGAGAAAGACAAGGTATGGTAATACAAAAATACAAAAAGTAATACAAAAACATTCTGATGGTCAGTCTCACAGTGGTTAATCCATTGGCCACATCCTTTAGCAGATTTTTTAATCAGAACAGTCTGCCTTAATGCAATTCAGTGTATTGCGTTATATACAAACCTCAATTCTGTTTAACCTAGATTACATAAAAACATAGAAAAACATAATATTTATTGTTTTATCTCATAAATGTTATTGTTTTTGTTTAAATATACACTTATTCTAAATTTAATGCCTGGTTCCTAGTCTCAAACTTTTTTGGAACGTGTTACAAGTATCAATTTCAGAATGAATGTATATTCACAAAAGGCAATGATGTTAATAGGGTGAAATATTAAATATCTTGTCTTGGTTTTGCTCAAATACAGGTCAGAGTGAATTTACAAATCACTGCTTTCTGTTTTTATTTTACAAACTGTCCCAACATTTCTAGAATAGAGAATTGTTCATAGAATTGTTGATACTAAGAATAGAGCAAAATTCAGTGTAACTACTGAAGGTACATGCGACATCATTGTGGTGCATCATCTGAAATTTGTTCAACCTGATGTTTTATTGTTGATGCAAATATGTATTTCTAGTTAATGGTAATAATGGTAGCAGATCGAATTGCCATTTATGTGTTTGGTCATTTCAGCCAACTGTGGATGACCAGGTTGTGAACCTGCAGTTCAGCTGGAAGGGTTTGGTGAAGCCGCTGGGCAGCTCCTTCATCGGTGTCAGCCCTGAGTTTGAGGTGGCACTCTTCACCATCATCTTCCTCATGAATAATGAGCGTGTTACCAAGACTGTGGTGAAGGTGGACAAGTACTTGCTGGAGATTGTGGTGTGCCGCCATGGGCGTGCCATTGGGACGTCCTATCCCAAAATGCTCCAAAAACAATAACAGGGATCTATAAAAGGTCATAATTACCACAAGTAGCCTTGGAGAAAACAAAGTTCCTCCAAGGAGCATTCACATTTTCAGAGCTTGTATGTTAATGGTACATCCTAAAAGATAGGGGACAGGATTTTAATGTTCAAAAAGCAATAACAGGTCAAAACATATGAGAGTTACTGACAGGCATTTTTTACACTGTATCCTCTCAAATGCACATCTCTATTGTTCTCTTGTTACACCTGACAAATATGAAGTAAACAAAACATGCTTAAAATATAACACTTTTACAAAAATGAAGTGTTGACTTCAGTACTTTGTAAGCCAATGTTTAAACAATTGGCGAAAGTATCTAAACATTTAAATTACTGTACATTACTCTTTTTAGAGAAAAATATCAATGAGCCATTATTGCATGTGTTTTTTGTTGATGGTACAGTTGAACATAAGGTAAACTATTCAGTATTTCTTGAAGGATGCCTTTAGTTCCAAAAAGTAGTGCTGCTATTGGGTAGTTACATTTAGTGGAAACACACCACAGTTTTTGCTTTCAGAATGTTGTCATCCATGTTTTATTTGTGGAAAAATAAACTGAATTTATATCAGTAACTTGTGAAGTCTTGTGAATTTGTTCCTCAGTTGTTTTGAAAAGGTCTCACAAAGGCTATGGGTCTGTCCTTCACGTAAAATCTGCACCTGATTTTATGAACCATACTTCTGTCAGTACAAGAGAGAAAGTGATCTCCCACACTTCTGACATGAGTGTAGTTTGTATCTGTTGATACCTTTTTTAAATTACTGATTACCACAGATTTAGGCACAGTGCACCATCACTTTAACTATGTTACCAAAGAATTGATCATTAAATCATTTCCGAATGACTTTTTTTGCTGATTTTGTGGCCTGGGGCAGTAATTGTACAAGAGATAAAGCAAACGCTCCTCTGTTCTCTTATATCAATGAGGACAGACTCTAAAGTATTGCCACTTATGCTTGTAAGTGTTGCATTTCTCCAAACTATGAGGTGTATGAAGTTAATTATATTATAAATGCATTCACTGTCAGTTTGAAAAGCATATATTTTTAGCCTGTGATATTTTCTATGTCTTTTACAATATAGACATAAAATGAAATTTCACCCTTTTTTGGAGGTGCCCCAGTCTTTGAACTAATATATTTTATCTCATTAAGTTAATTAAAAATGCCCAAGTTGATTTCCATTCAGCTGGCAGAATGGCCACTAGGGGGCCTGCAGAAAGAGGCTAAATATTTGTTCCACTCTCTACCTTCAGGCTTCATAAACCTCTGAGATGTCTGCAGATGTGTCTAAGAAAGTGCTGAGTGAGGAGCTGCAGGAGAATGACCTATTCCTTGATGCCATTTTAAAGAGATCATGAAGGCAGTCCTACAAACACTCTTTCTGACATCGTTAGGCCTTTATAAGCTATTCAGATACTGTGAATCTGCATAAGGTTAGGTGTATAGTTTTTGATCTCAGCCATTTATTTTTTAGCACGCTCACATTTATTTAGTAAGTCAAGGAAAAGCCAACTCTGAAACTGCTCAGTTTGCTCTATTACACACTTCTATAACCTAAGAACAGCATAATTGGTTTGCACTGAAGTCCTTGTAGTTACTGAACAATAAGCCTTTGTGTGAAATAAACTTGGGAGGTTAATTGGTAAAAAGCAGCTCTTTGACATCTGGTTGAAGCTTTATCACAGAGAAGTGGGGGGTGAGTCTACCAAAACACAGAGAGCTGTACTTACCAGTGTTTTGAGTTGCAGTGACATGCACAAATGTGAAGTGTCCACCAGATGGTACAGAACTAGAAATTAAAGCCACAATCAGGATGCTCCGAGACATCAGAGGTCCATCATCCCCACATTAACCCATATAAAAGCTGCATTTTTATCACTCTAGTATTAATTTTTGATTGGGGCTTTAATACCAACATTTGGCTTATAAATGACGGTTCTTATGTAAGGATGTGCAGGATTGCACCGAAGTCAGAAACCACCCTTCATTTATTTAATTTCTAGTCAAATAACCATTAAGTGCAAATTATTACACAGAAGCTTCAAAAACTAAATATAATATCAAGTTTTTAAATTATTTATTGTGTTTATCCTTTGCCTCTATTATAGCCTCCATTCTTTTCAGTAGACCTGCTTCCAGTTTTTTCAAAAAAATTGCAAAAAATTTGCAAAAAAATATTTTCCACCCCTCCAAGTTCAGTCGTAGAAGTTGGTTGCATTTTCATTTTCTCATTATTTAAGTTTCTTTTTGACTATTTCCTTTTCTCAGTAACAGCTTCTTGACAACTGCACATCCTGTCAGACCCACGGTTTTGGGTTGTGAGCTGGGTGGTGTTCTCACAGTGGAAGGATGGACAGAAACACCTAAGTTTTTTTTGTTCTTTTTTTTTTAAATCTGAAGCAAGAGTGTAGCTTGACTGGAGCTTTGTAAGTGCTGTTTATTTGCTGGTGACAGTTTTGGTGGTCTACCAGGTCTTGCATTGCTCTTAAGAATTTACTTTTGATGTTTGCCTTCCTTATGCAGAAATTTCACCTGAAAAATTAACAACTTGTACTTAATGGCCATTTTGACTAAATGTTAAACAGATGAAGGGTACTGCAAAACCTACCACTGAGTCATGAACTTGGATCTAATATGTTTATAGTAGCATTCATGTGTCAGGGTTTTGTGATATAGTTTGTTTTGTCACAAAGGTGTAAAGAGTCTGTTTTGCCACCCCCTCGCCCTTTCCCATTAAATGTAAATGTGTTGGTTATTGTAACATAACAAAAATGCTGAATTCAAAATGGCCTGTTTTTACAGAGTTTACAGAGTTTACATAAATGGACTGTATGGAGTAAGTAGTGAACAGTTTTGAAAATTTTAGTAGGTTTGCACACTAAATGAAGTACTATAATTAAAAATACGTGAGGAAAGATCACTTTGCCATGATATGGGCTCCTCATAATGAAGTAACTGTGCATTAGATACCGCATTTTGGCTACTTTTGTTATTAGATACCACATTTTGTTACTTTGCTACTTTGTAATTTTGTGTAAGAGAGTGCTTGGTCAATTATGCTAAATGCACTGTGGACACCTGCAATTAACCTGCAAAATAATTCTTATGAACAAGAAGACGAACACACATAATCCAACTTGAATTTATCTTTTTATTAGAGTTGAAGTGTTGGTAAAGGTATTTCTAAACAGTGGTCCAAGCTTGTACACATTAACATTCAATTTGAAATGAGCTGTCGAGTATGTTGAGTTAACACAAGCACGCCTCACATCCCACCATATGAGTATAAATGAAACGCTCATTGGATAACATCGCAATTACTGCAAGTCAGTTTTCTACTGCAGCTTCATAAAATAATCTACACACAAACTTAACAAAACCTGACAGCTAACAAAGTCCATTACTCATATAATGCACTCTGAAACACAAAGACATTTTGAAATACTTGAAAAAAGGAGTTAAACCATAAGAAGCACTATAGAAACCCAGTCTCAGGATCAGACAGAAGAGCACTGAATTAGACAGGGCTCTTCTTCTCAACAGAATTCCATGGAAGTCAAGATGAGTTCCTTCAAAGTTAGATGAACGAAGGTAAACAGTGATGTTATAAAAATCTACTCCACCTCATTCTATATGTGCTGTCATCCTACTTGTTAACCTACAGCATTTACTTCCAGTTCTTCCTGGTCGTCTTGGTTGCTTTGGAGTACCTCTGATGGTCATTGACGCGGTTGCGCAGCACGTTGATGTCGTACTTCTGCATTTTGAGTTTCTCGGCCAGATCAAACTTCTCAGCGTGAAGCTGCTGCAGCCACTGCCAGAGGTCACGGGCCTTCTCAGCCAGCTTGTCCTGGTTCAGGTGGTCGATGTTGAGCGGCTTGCGGCGCTCCATGAGGGCCTTGGTCTTCTTTTCGCGTTCTGTGAGTTTCTTGCCCTTCTTCTGGTCAACCTTCTGCAAGTAGCCTCCATAGGACTTGTTGTTGAGGAGCTTCTTCTTCTTGGCGTCCTCCTCAGCCCGCAGTTTGGCGGCCTCCTCCTCACGCCGGGCTTTTTCCTCAGCCAGCCGGGCCTGCCTCTCCCTCTCCTGCTCTGCCCGGATGCGCTGTTGCTCGGCACGGTCTGCGCGCCGCCGCTCAATACGTTGTTTCAAGGCCACCAAGTCATCTTCCTCCTTCTGCCTGTTGCTGAAATGCTGCTGGATGAGACTCTGCAGCTCGTTGTAGTCCTTCTCCACACGTTTGCGATGGAGGTCGTCAAAGTCCACCTTCTCTCCATCAGGCAGCTTGGGCGGTGCCATGTTCGGAACGTACAACTTAGGCTTGGGCTTGGAATCTTCTGCTTCTATTTCTTCTTCTTCAGCCTCCTCTTGCTCTTCTGCCTCCTCCACCTGGGGGGCCTCCTCTACATCCTCCTCTTCCTCAACCACTTCTTCTTCCTCCTCTTCCTCCTCCTCATACTCCTCCACAATCTCTTCGGTGTCAGACATTGTGCTGGTGGTGTGCCTGGTCTTTGAGAATGAGAATGAATGGAGGTTGAGGAGCAGCCTCACTTTACCACTTGCTGTCCAGCTGGAGATTAGGAGGCTGAAGAGAGTGGGCAGTTGTACATGTTTTTATAGTGTCCTCTTACCCATGTGACCACTGCTGTGTGAAATTGCTCAGTCCTTGCACTGTGGAGGGAGGTTTTTGGACAGATGCACAGGGATCTATTTTCTTCTCTGGGCCTTTTTCAGCGCCTCTAGGATCCAGACCCTGACCCCTGGTGTCCCTTCCCCCGAGGTCTTTGTAGGGATTCCAAGAGTGCCTTTTTTCAGACACACAAAGCAGATGCACACCCTTGTGCTAAGAAAGAGGTCCACACTTGTTTAAATTAGGCTTGTTCTAATTCCCTGTTAATGAAAAATACCTTGACTTTTAATGGCATTTGGCATAACACATTTAAAATTCACCTACACAGTCAAATATAACACTACATGAACAAACTAAATAAACTCTCTTAAGTGGTATTGTGCAGTTGCTTAATTAGATGGACAAACGACCTACTGTAAATACATCTATTAATTACATTATTATTTTGTTCTCTACTTCAGTGTGCTATGACTGGGCAATTACCCATAAATCAAGTTATTATTATTACCAACAGTAGCAGTGACTTCTAAAGATTAAAATCTGCTCTATCTAAAAATATTGAGGTTTGGCTTCTTATTAAACAAAGCCATGCGGTGCTGTGGAAAAAAAAGAAAAACTTGGCAACTTTTGTATGAATTTTTATAAGTGCACCATTATTTACATTATTTAAAATTATTTGCGCCATTAATTTGCTACAAGCTTATTGATTATTTAATGAGCTTCTGTATCAACAGCGGCAAGAATATGAGAATTATTAATGCATTTTACAATACTTTTTATGTTGATAGGTAATTACACCTGAATAGTATATTATAATTATGTAATTACATAATTAATTGATATATTACTATGAATGAATTACATACATATTTGATTAACATTCTGTATCAACAGGTTCATGTCTGTTCAATTCAATTACTATTCAATTTTAATGTTCCTTTGCTTTGATGTGAAGCACAATAAATTGTGATATATTATGAATGTAATTAAATGTGCTATATTAATAAACTTGCCTTTGCCTTACTAATTAATCAAATTACGCCTTGCTATTGTTACAATCTTTATGTTATGCGGTGCTGTAGGAACAAATCTCAACCTCTCCTGTATGTAGCAGATTGAGTTATATAATGTTGGAGAATACAGTTAAAACATTCCTGCTGTGTGAGACAGCCATCTATAAAAGATCAGAGCACATTCCTTTAAGGGCTGCCTGAACTTTAGGAAATAATACCAGCCTCACAAGACAAATACAAAAGACCAGAACTGTCTGGCACTTGAGATGCTGAATGGTTCTTGAAGCTGTTATATCAGACAGAGAGCAGACCCTCAGTGACAAAAGCAGGCAGGTGGGCCACTTCATATCCAAACAAGTCCTGCTTGTGTACTAAAAATTCCCTCAGCTGTGTCTGCCAGCAAGAACTTTCCAAAACACCCAGACGTTCTCTATGTGAAACAATAAGCTACTGTACCCTTCAAAAGTTTGGAGTCACTTGTTTTATTAATAACTGCAGTTATTTTATTCAATAGTAACTTATAGAGTGTAGATTAAACTACTGTAAGCTTGACACCAGAAGGTAATTTAAGATAATTTATAATATTTTCTGTTTTGTTTTTTGTTTATTTTTTTGTTTGTTTGTGTGTGTGGGGGGGAGGCACCACAATGTTATTAAATCATAAATAATACCTGTAATTGTCCTATTTACAGTATATTATTTACAGTATATTCTATATGATAAGTTATCTATCTAAATATGTGATCACCACTTTTTAAAAACAAGGCATTCTGAATGTTCTCCTATTTGTTCCTCATTCTGGACATCTAACATTTCTTCTTTTTTTACAGCTTCCTTCTAAGCTGCTGAAATGTATAGAATAGTAGGATCATAATATTTTTGTTCATGTATCTTCAACAAATTACTTTTATTTTGATGAAAACAGTAATGTCAACTTTTGAACTGATCAGTGTTTGAACTGTCAAACACATAATCAGAAAATGCTAAGCTTTGGAAATGTTAAGCCCTGTTCACATAGCTAAGACCATGTCAAGCATCAATCTGTCATTGTTCAGCATTGATCTTTAAAAGCAAAGGTTGAGTTGCTTCTGTAAACTACTTAATGAGCTGTGGAAAGGCCTTGTGTGGAGTGAGGACAGTTAAATGGCTCCTAAGATCCCTGGTAGGGATGTATTTGCTTGTGTGGATGAAGAGATTGTGGGTTAGGCTGGCCAGCTACATGGCCAGATGACTGACCTTTTAAATCACACACCTTGTATCTCTGCACTCCTGCTATGAGGAATTATATCAACTGCAATTAGTATTTTATAACAGCTGTGCCATGTATTTGACACTGTTGGTTGTACTTGCTCTTTGTAGAATTGACCGTTCAGTACCAGTTGTAATGCAGTGTCTTTTAAACATAAGTAGCTGTTGCATTTTCATATTTTTTACAGTAAAATTATAGAATAACTTTGTGGTGATACACAAATAGCCACTTATCTGGAGAGATTCCCTCAGACTGAATCTGTGCCGGTGTGTAATTTGTGAGTGGCAGGTGGTGGTTGTATTTAAACCAGGCATCTGATTGGACACTAGCAGGAAGGGACAGCTGCATCTATCAATAGGAGCACTGGGTTCCTGCTGAATGACATGAGCCAAAATTAACCAGCCCCAGTTCCAGTGCTCATACTTCACTAAATATCAACCTGGATATCAGTAAATACATTTATATACATCAAAGCAATGAATGTTATTTATGCAAGTATTGTACAGTGGACCATTTTATTAACTGTACTGGACAATGGACTGTCTTAGTAACATATGTTCTGTATGAAGAATGGCAGAACAGGCTTTATTCTGCTACCCCTGTGATTATTTGCAAAGTGAGTACAGATAAACTGAAAACCACCAGCTAAGCCAAGAAGGGTTCCTTGGGGCGATCTTTGTAGAAGAACCACTTTTGTTTCCTTAAAGAAGCTTTCAGTAAATGACTGGTTTTTAATGGGATAAGCGAGTGTAAAGAAGCTTTTTAAATTTTCAAGAACCTTCACATAATGGAATAGATCTATAAGAATAAAAAGTGTTCCTACACTGTTAAAAATGATGGCTCTTCAAGAGTTCTTTATTTAAAAAATGGTTCCATTAAGAACCACAAACACTCAAAGAACTCTTTGCATGATTAAAGGGTTTTTTGCATCATTAAATGGTTCTTCGTAATGAAGAATGTGCTGCAGATTGTTCTATATAGAACCTTTTTGAAAAGGGTTCTACATAGTACAAAAAAGTGTTCTTCTATTGTTACAATGTCAAGCCTGTAACAATAAAAGAACCCTCTTGAGTGCTATATAGAAATCCTTTTCGAAAAGAGAACCACATAAAACACATTGTCCATCAATCTGAAGAATGCTTCCATGATGCAAAAGAACTCTTTAATCATGTAAAGGGTTCTTTGAGTGTAGAACCATTTTCCTTACTAAAGCACCCTTAAAGAATCATCTTTTTTAAGTGTGTAGAACCATGTATTCAAGACAAAAGTGATAGAATAACAGAACAAACATTTAGAAATTTGATATGCTTATCAGGCACTACATGCATAATGAGCAAGGATCAAAGGATTGTTTCCATTTGTAGTTTATGCAAATCATCTAAAACTGTCTCAAATTGTCTCTAGAGTTCCTCCCAGACTATATTATCTGTATTAGCTTTATTGATGTAGTCATTCACATTTAAACCAATTAAGGGTTCATAGAAGTCAATTCACGTTCACACGATTTTCAGGCATATTACACTCTCAGAAAAAGGGCATTAAACTGTCACTGGGGTGGTCCTCCTCTTGTCACTGGGGTGGTACCCTTAAGGGAAGATAATTGTACCATATTCCATTGGAATTCCCTAAGTTGTATTGACTTCATACACCCCATCTTGTGTACAGGTTTTTATTGGTTCTATTTCTAAACATTAGGTAATGTATGTATATAATGTATATAATATAAAAAGGTATGTACTTTTCCACTGGGAAAAACTTGTTTAAGGTACACAATTGGACCTTAAAACCTCTGTTGTACCATTAAGGGTACATTTACACTGTCTGTATCTTGATAAATGAAGAATATACCAAAATATTACCTTTTTTCTGACATTGTACTGTGTAGGGATTAGAATAGTGTAACTGTTATGTGATGTTGCATACTTCTGGTGTGAAATTTCACATTATACAGTAATAAATCACAGTAGAACACAAGTAAAGCATACTGATATGAAAATGTGAAATGTGTTTAAATATAAAGTATTTACTGGTTATGAATAAATTGTTTTAGGAGTGGATATGAGTGCATGTTTAACAAAGCTTAAAGCCTCCAAAGGTAAGACATTACACAAAAGTGTAAAGACATCTAAAATGAATTAAATGTGACAACCATATGGATGAATTCACTCTTCTCATAATGTCCAAAATAAGAGAGCTTCAGTTTTGTTATCTGGGCTTCGAGTAAGTGGTGAGAATTGATTGGTCAAGAATCCATTTTTTATTTACATTTTATTTACATACAAGGTTTTATCAAAAGTTTTTGCCAACACCAAAGTTCAAAGGCATCAATATCTTTTTCTTTTCCTGCTGTTTTATCATCCAGCTTTCACATCCATATTTGTGTTATATTTCTTGATTGGTGGATGCTTTGTTTTAAATAATAGATCCAAGTAAGAAAAAGCTGTTCGCTACTTCTTTCAAAATAATTATGTAACTATAATATTGTATATCTACAATATACAGTGGTGTGAAAAAGTGTTTGCCCCCTTCCTCATTTCTTATTCTTTTGTCTGTTTGTCACACTTAAATGTTTCGGGTCATCAAGCAAATTTACATATTAGACAAAGATAACACAAGTAAACACAAAATGCAGTTTATAAATGAAGGTCTTTATTATTAAGAGAAAAAGAAATCCAAACCTACAGGGCCCTGTGTGAAAAAGTGATTGCCCCCCCGTTAAAACATAAATTAACTGTGGTTTATCACATATTTGGAAAACTGAGTTCAATTTCCCTAGCCACACCCAGGCCTGATTACTGCCACAACTGTTCTCAATCAAGAAATCACTTAAAAGAGGACCTGCCTGACAAAGTGAAGCAGACCAAAAGATCCTCAAAAGCTAGACATCATGCTGCGATCCAAAGAAATTCAGGAACAAATGAGAACCAAAGTAATTGAGATCTATCAGTCTGGAAAAGGTTATAAAGCCATTTCTAAAGCTTTGGGACTCCAGCGAACCACAGTGAGAGCCATTATCCACAAATGGCAAAAACATGGAACAGTGGTGAACCTTCCCAGGAGTGGCCGGCCAAACAAAATTACCCCAAGAGCGCAGCGACGACTCATCCAAGAGGTCACAAAAGACCCCACAACAACATTCAAAGAATTGCAGGCCTCACTTGCCTCAGTTAAGGTCAGTGTTCACGACTCCACCATAAGAAAGAGACTGGGCAAAAATGGCCTGCATGGCAGAGTTCCAAGATGAAAACCACTGCTGAGCAAAAAGAACATAAAGGCTCGTCTCAGTTTTGCCAGAAAACATCTTGATTATCCTCAAGACTTTTGGGAGAATTGTCCGGCCATCTGTTTGTGACCTCAAGCTGAAGCGCACTTGGGTTCTGCAGCAGGACAATGATCCAAAACACACCAGCAAGTCCACCTCTGAATGGCTTAAGAAAATCAAAATTAAGACTTTGGAGTGGCCTAGTCAAAGTCCTGACCTGAATCTCACTGAGATGCTGTGGCATGACCTTAAAAAGGCGGTTCATGCTCGGAAACCCTCCAATGTGGCTGAATTACAACAATTCTGCAAAGATGAGTGGCCAAAATTCCTCCACAGCTCTATAAAAGACTCATTGCCAGTTATTGCAAATGCTTGATTGCAGTTGTTGCTGCCCAAGGTGGGCCAATCAGTTATTAGGTTTAGGGAGCAATCACTTTTTCACACAGGGCCCTGTAGGTTTGGATTTCTTTTTCCCTAAATAATAAAGATCTTCATTTATTAACTACATTTTGTGTTTACTTGTGTTATCTTTGTCTAATATTTACATTTGTTTGGTGATCTGAAACAATTAAGTGTGACAAACATGCAAAAGAATAAGAAATCAGGATGGGGCAAATACTTTTTCACACCACTGTAGAGCTGTGAAGATAAGGCAATGAGTGGTAGCTGCATAGAACTGGAAGACAGATCCAGTGACATTTCTCATTTTTCTTTACAGATATATTGAATGTTAAATCAAGAACACTTGATAACATTTCAAATGTTCCTTCTTTTTAGTGTTGAGTTTTAAGTTTTGTACTGTTGTATTAAGGATTACAGACACAGAGAGGCTTATCAGTGCATTTATATCCCTTTGGTTCATTACCAGGACTGAGTAACTGTAATAATTCAGAAGATTCTCCAGAGCACAAATAACAGCACTGTTAGAGAGCAGCTAGAAGGGTTATGAGTATGAGGCTTGTTATCATCTTTAAAGCATAGTCATGAGGTTATCTGTCATCACTGATAGTGTTATATTGCCCTATTGTCCTCTGATGTTCCTTGCAACAATAAACTGTGCAAAATTGTCCATAAACGTGGAGAGAAAATTCAGCTGAAGTTATACTTCATGATGGAAAATTAATAATCATTGATTTTTTTGATCCACCACATTGCATTGCATACAAAACAGTTTCCACCCTTCTTTCATGTAAAACATTTACTGTTTACTGTTAAATGTTAAATAAATAACACTGTTGGTCATGTGATTAAAAAAACTATATCCAAAATGGTCACAAACTGATATACAGCATTTTAGAATAAAACTCTTTATTTATTTGTATTGTTATATGATACATGTAAACAAGTGTTTTTGTGAAGATATATTACTGCACATTATACAAAATTAGCTCAAATCATGCCAAAAGGAAAGACAGTGTAGTCTCGAATTAAATAAAATGTACAGAAGATTAAATTGTACTGCTGTTGCTGAAGAATACAGATATTTTTGGTTATTTTTATTATTCATCTTAATAATTATATGTATTTTGATAATCATTTTTGTTTTAAAATGGTAAAACATTTTGTCTTGTGTATTGTTTTAATTTTTCCCCCATGCTTTATTTCACTGCCTTTTTGGTACACTTTCATTTTAAGTTATGTTTACTCATTTCAGTACCTTGTTTTGTATAATGCTTGGCTACAGTGTAAATCAAAGCTACACTTAATGTACCCCAAATTTTAGGTAAAGCCTGATCAAGTTTTTTTTGTTTGTTTGTTTGTTTTAATTTGTGTGTAAATTGTGTGTGTGTGCCTGAGCACAAGAAGTGAAATTTATAGGTGGCTTCATCAGCAGAAAAACCAGCTGAGCCTGTTCATACTGTCTTAGAGATAACACTTAAACTAAGGTGCTGTAAGGTGAAACTAAGGTCTTCCTCTAGCTGTTATACTGATAAACATGCTGATCATCAGGCATGATATTCATTCCCTGTACTGTGTGAAGCATAAATCGAAAGAGGGAGGTGCAGGCAAAAGTCATGTCAGCTGCCCAGACTATATCATCACTCACATTAACTCTCTGTACACTGTTACTGATACTTCTTTTGGAACAATTTTTAGATAATATGATTGATCAGTTGTGTTTTTAATGCACTAAAATAACAGTAACACTTTATTTGAAAGGTGTCTACATAATATGTTCATAACGTCTTACATAACATTCAAATGTTTAAATCAACATTTATAAAGTATACATGTTTTACATTATATTAATATGGACTACTATGTCATTTTACTGAAATACATTTTTCAAAATAAAACTCTTCATGTATTATTTTGAAAAAGTATTTTTGTTCAGTAAATTGTCTTATTACTGGACAGGCAAAACAGAAATTATCATGCTTTATTCCTTTTGGTCATTAGTGCTTTTACACTGAGACTTCTTTTTAATTTTTTGTTTTTTTTCTTAAGCATTTGTTGCTTTACATGTCACTTTATCCGATGCACAATGACACTTGTGCCTTCTCCAATACCATAAGCAAAGAAGAACATCACTAACAGTTAGAGTAAGAGGGTAAAACTTAGGATAAATAATGTTTTCCTCAACAATACATAGACTGTTGAATCACCCCATTGGCACAATAAAGTTTTAAAGAAGACAAAGTAAAAAGGGAAATACATGTTTTATCATGTAAAACATGTATGTTTTATGAATGTTGATTTTAACAATCATGAACATGTTATGAAGTGTTTATGCAAGATGTTATGAATGTGTTATGTAGACACACTTCAAGTAAAGTGTTACCAAAATAATAAAGAGTTTGATAAACTTTACAATGTATACATTTTATTAGTGCAACAACATATTACATGTTTCTTGTATAGAATGATACACTGTATTTAAAAATTTGTCACTTTTTATACTAAATCTCTTACAGTTTCAGGCTGAAAAATGCTGCAAAACTTTACAACCTGATTGCACAGTAAAGTATCCTTCATCCTTCACCGGTTTGTACAGCTGTTCCTGAAACATGTTTACTCCATTAGCAGTTACAGAGATACAGTTTCATAGAATGTAATAGGTGAGGTGGTGCTGAAAAGCTGTGCAAGGATCACAGACTTGATTAAAAGCTCATCAGCACATTTACGTCCTGTTCCTCTCTAGAGCTGGGTAACTACAATGTTCAATCAGATCCTCAAGCCACAGTCACAAAGATAAAATAGTGCCTGCTAGAGACCTGCTTTGTGTTTTGTGATGCTAATGTTATAATTTCTCAGAGACATCAGTGACAACGGATGAATGAAAGCTTTTTGTTCTCCTCACCCATAACTCTGGTCAGAGTGGTATGGCATCAGTCCGGGACAGGTAAACACATGAAACAAACACATGTAGATTTACTTATCATGTGATGTTCAGGTTACAAGTTAGCTCTGTTATTAGCTCTGAGAATTCCTGTAGTTAAACCTTCTGGGCCCATAGTACTCATCATCAGCTTGTCTTTCCCACTGTTCTTCACTTTGAACCAATAGGATGAAAAACTGCACTACATTATTGATACTTTTATTCCTTTTTGCGTAATCTGTAAAAGAGGACCACAGAAAGGTACAAGTTAAACAAAAGACAATTCTACACGCATAGCTCTGATTGGCTGTAGAATTTGCAATTACAAAGTCTTACCTTTTTTGCCCACAAAGATCCCAGCGTTAACAGCCACAACAACAAGGACTGTAATTACAACAACGGTGAGGACCAACACAACGGCAATGCCAATATATGCAAGGTAATGCAATCCAAACTCTTTAAAGACATGCTCTTGGTGAAGAGTCTTTTTGTCCAGTGTCTGGCCATCTAGAATCAGACAAATCATCTGCTTAACCATTTAAAGTCCACACACATTAGTTTCATGAGAATTAAGTACATAAGTCTTAAGATTAACAAAGACATAATGAGCCCATAGTTCAGCTACTGCAATCCTTATTTTATTTTTAGATCCATATGTTTGTTACATTTATTACTAGTGTCTTTTAGGCACCCACTTATATCAACACCCTTAAATATAGTATCATTTACATTAAAAAAATGGGTTTAAAAGCTAAGAGAGCTGATCATGATTAAATTCTGGAGTAATGAGGGCGAGTACCGAAGCATAATGATTACAAACCGTCTCCTTTAAATCCACTATAATAGCTAAGCTTACTTTAACACTAAGATTTCCTTTTTGGACTAAGACATAACTTTTTCAGACAGTTTTACTAAATAAGGCACATACCCCATCCAATAGAAATATGTAGATTGTCTGTGTCCACCATACAATGATATCGGTCAGGTTGTTTCATGCTGGTCTCTGTCTGAAGTCTGATTTGAAGTGAGTCATCCATATTCGGAGCTGGACCGGAGATATCAACATTTTTGTCCACTACCACTCCATCCAGAGTCAGCCGAACACGAATTCCTGGTAAATACTTATGACTGACATGACATCGCAGAGATACAGTGTCCCTGTCATCAGAAGACTTGCTAAAAACATATACATCAGGACCTGTAAAGACACATTTAAACATTACTTAAAGGTGTAACTGATTAAAATGATCAAAATCATTATGACAAATATCTTTCCTTTTAAAGGTAAAACAATGACTCTCTAGTAAAGAATCATAAAAAAACTCACGCATGTTTTGTTTCAGATAGTCTGCTTTCTTCTTCTTCAGCTTCATCAGAGCTGGTTTACACTGATTCAGCTGAAAGTCCCTCAGCGACGGAATCATGAACTTCAACTGGTTAAATTCTGATCGTGCTGTTCTCGCCAGTGAAGACTCAGAACGCCATTTCAGAGTGACCGGATCCAAAGTCAGAAAATCTTCAGCATCCACCCCCCACCTGTCACTCACAGAGACTTCTGAATCATCTACAGTACAGCTTCTCTCTCTCTGGATCAAACCTTCATAAAATAAGACAATATATGTTTATATCATGCCTGCACAAATATCTCACTGTTATTAACTGGGATTTGAAGCGGGAACATTCTGATTTGCAGACTTACTTAGTCTGTCCACTCGACCACTCACAACATGGTCACATCATGGCTCAGAGGAGTGAAAAGGTTTATAAGAGGCAATAATAGGGGTCCATGCACTATTTTTGTTAATAAGGTGCCAATTTAACAATTATTTATCTCCTCTTTTTGATGAGATATTTTTTTAGTTTCTACTAATATGGTGGACATAGTTTGAAATCAAACTGCCTCCACAATTTAGAAAAAAAAATAAAAAATTTCATATTTTTGAAGTTCTCATTAAATTTGTCCATATCAGTGTTATTCACAATGCATTTAAACTGTACATTTATAGCGCCAGTTCTTGACACAGTGCAATCACAACCAGTCAGCAGATTGTTTGTGATTATGAATGTGAGCAGCACAGTGCAAACTTGGCAAGCAATCTTGCTAATATGAAACTGAAGGATAAAGATCCCTGAGCTGAAATAAAGCAGTTTATTCAAACCGTCAACTATGATGCTGATTGCTCAGTGAATCAAATGCATTTGACTAGAAAGTTAAAAACAGGTACTTACAGCTGTCATGTATTGAGTATCTCTTAGAAGTACTCTAAGGCACTAGGTATTGCTGCGCATGGGACTACTTGTTCAAAATAATAAACAAAATAACGTTGAGTTGAATGAATAACTTAAACTTTATTAAATAATTAAATTAAATTAGCGAAAAAGTCTACTGCAACTTTCCTCCAAACGTGGAGTGTTTTATATGACTTATATGCTTTGCTCCCCACATTTTAGCATAGAAATGTAATAATAATAATAAAAAATAATGATGTGAAGAAGAAGAAAAAATAGGGCTCCTTTCTGTGCCTTATTATTATTTTCAGAATGTTAGTATTATAACAGTATTGTTTAAATCCTGTTGTTAAGTACTGATGATAAATTTCATATGACATTCGTTGCAGTTGAAATAGCATATTTTATTAGTTGGTAGAAAAGTTCTCATGTACCATTTTATTTTTAAAATTATAATACTATTACAATTACATATGTCACATTCCTTATGTCATTATATTATCAATGTAAGTATTATTAGTTGAAAATTAACATCAATTAAACAACACTGGTGGTTTAAAATTAAGTACAGCTAAATCTTACCATTGGTTGTGTTGATTATCTGTTGAATCTTGTCTATTAGAGTCTTGTGGAAAAAATATTCTGCCTCACAGAACTGGTCTCTGTGCGTCCACTCTTCAGCAGTGAAAGCCTGATGGATCCACTCCTGTCTGGACTGATCTCTGAAACTGGGGCTCTCACAGTGAGAGATGATGAGACCGTCAAACACTGTCGTAATTTCAAACTCTGCTGAACGCAGTGTGTACAAATACTGCAGAGTGTGCTGCTCTGAAGTGAGAAATAAAGACCTTTATTATAATCAAGATCATCATCTGCTATGATGCATTCACTACCACACACAGACATACAGTCTCGTCTGAAAGTACTGAAACAGCAGGCCAGTTCTTTTGTTTTTGCTAAACACTGGAGATATTTTGAGATCAAAGGATGGATATGAAGCAACACAGGTTTCATTTCCTCAGATTTACATCTGAATGTGCTAAACAACTTAGAACATGGCACCTTTGGTGGCAGAGCACCCAATTTTAAAATAAGTAAAATATAAGAACAAATAATATATAAATTTAAGTAAATAACACTTGATATATGGTTGCATTTCCCTTGTCTGTAATCAAGCCAGTGACCCACTGACATCACTAAACTTTTACAATCTTCTTTTGTGATTCCAGGCCTTTATTGCAGCTTCTTCCAGTTATTGTTTGTTTTTTGGTTGTTTAGTCTCCTCTTCAGGAGGTGAAATGCATACTCCATTGGGTTAAGGTCTTGTGATTGACCTGGCCAGTCAAAAACCTTCCATTTTTTTGTGCTGGTGGTGTGTTTTGAGTCATTTTCTTGCTGCATGATTAGACTGTATGCATTTCTCTGTAAATTTGCAAAAATAAAATGTTTCTTTAGACTTCTGAATTCATTCTGCTGCTACCATCATGAGTTAGAGTGAAGAGAATCATGAGTAAACATTAGTGAGCCCATTCTAGAAGAAGTCATACAAGCCCAAGACTTGCCATTCCCTCCACCATGCTTGACTGATGAGCTTGTATATTTTGAATCCTGAGCAGATTCTTTTTTACTCCGTACTTTGGCCTTCCCATCACTTTGGTAGAGGTTAATCTTGGTCTCATTAGTCCATAGAACACAACATTTGTGGCTTGTGTATTTCTTTGCAAATTTCAGTCTGGACTTGTGATTCATTCTGTTGATGAGTGGTTTGCATCTTGTGGTAAAGACTCTATATTTCTGCTCTCGAAGTCTTCTCCAAATGGTGGTTTGTGATACCTGCACTCCTGCCCTGTTGGTCATGTCATTTCTGTCATGTTGCCCTGTTGGTCATGTCATACTCTCACCATGTTTCCATCATGAATTCCTGCTGGTTTCCTTGGCCAACATGTTGCATGTCTGGTTGTTAGTACCCCAGTGGTTTCTTTTATTTTCAGGACATTCCAAAATTGTTGTACTGGATATGCTCAATGTTTGTGCAATGGATCATCTGAACTTCCCCCTTTTCCAATTTTAAAATGTCTTCTCCCATAGACGGCTCCCTGGACTTTATGTTGGTGTATGCTTTTTAACAACAAAAGCAGTTTTTACATCTGAAACCCAGGGCTCAAAGCAAGAGTAGACATTCAGAGCTATTAAATGTTTAAACAGTTAATCTAACAGGGCACATCTGGACAAGAAGAAACTCCTATCAGTCACATTCAGTATGTCAGTGACAGTATTTTTGCTCACTTGAACAACGAGTGAGTTTCAACCCAAGGTGCCATGTTTCAAGTTATTGAACAAATTTTGATGTAAATATCAGGAAATAAAAGCTGAAATTCTGATCTGAGGTCTCCTATGCCTTCAGTCTAAAACAAAAAACAAAAGAATTGGCCTTGCTGTTCCAGTACTTTTGGAGAACAGTGTAATTAAAAGTCAAAAGAAAGAAGATCAGGCTGGATAAACTAGTATTAAAGGTCCAGCACCATCCATGAAATTTGTACCTCCATCTTAGTGCACGTTTCATAAACAGAACAAGACTGCTAGCTTCATTACATGACCTTGTTAAACTGTGTTGTTAGATATGACATTCAGGTAGGTACAGTAATCAGTGTGTGATCTAAAAACACCCTGCTGAAAGATGAGGGTCAAACTGTGTAATGCTCAGTATGAACAGTAAGACAGTGTTCATTGTTGTGATGTTATACAAGGAAGTTACAGTGTTATTTACTTTTTACGAACTACATTTTTTTCTGAAGCATCACTATAAAAACTGATACAGATTTCACAGCTGTTACAAAACAACTCAATTGAAATAATGATTGGATTAAAAAAAGTCTGAAGTATTTTTAAAAATATAATAATGGAAGTCTCAAAGGCATCATTGTGTATCTGAAACTTCTGCAGTTACTTCAAAACCATTTTCCAGTGAATATATTCTATTAAACTATTCCAGTTCAGTAAGAAAGATGGGGAGACAAAGATGGAGCCAGGACAAGATAGCATTTCTCTATTACTGTTTTAAGTTAGAGGAACACTTTTCCAATGAATTTTAATAAACATATTGTTTTAGTCATCTCGCAAAATAACATGTTATATATGAATCTCACATTAGGAAGATCATATTAAATAGATCCCATCACTGTTTCTGCCTTTTCAAAAAACACAAAACTGAAAGCACAGCTGACAAAGTGTTACCTTGGGAATAAAGCCAACTTTTTTAGCTGTTTAAAATACCTGTTGGTTAAAGACTTTGAATATATGCTTTCAACAATAGTTTAGAAAAGAAAGTTGTCAGATCATTTATAAGATTATTTGATGATCAGGAGGTAATCAGGAAGTGAGTGAACAAAATACACCCAAAATATAAGTTTCATCTTAAAAAAAAATATTTTTCTTACTTAACAGAAAAGTTAAATTTGAACAATTAAAGCATTTCAAGAAAGCAAACTGTCTTCAAACTGGCTGTGTGTGACTGGAATTGGATGTGGCATATTGTTTTACACTATTAGTGAAACTTATTTTTCACTGTTATATGAATAAGTGGTCAAGAATGTGAACTATGCAAGCCATGTTAGTTGAAGTACAAGTGGAGTCAGAAACACAGTGATTGGTGTTTTCCTTATATTTAGCATTTTATAGTTATAAAATGCTATAAAATGAAGTAATAAATATATAATAAATACATGCCTATATAATTCTTTATATTTAATTGATTTTTTACTGTCATTGCTTGTGGAAGAATCCAACTGTAATGGTCATGTGGTTTACCTGCCTCACCTGTTGGCTTATTTAGTTCACTTAGTACTGTTTACCTTAATTGTATTTTAATACCTATATTTTTATTAATTAGCCAGTTTAAGCTAACCACAAGCCTAAGGTTGCTAAATACCTGAGTTGAACTATATCTCAAGAACTTCCTTACCTGCTCTTGTTGTCTTCACTATGCCGACAGAACACACAGCAGGATGAAGCTCATGGTGTAGATCTACATGTATATCCTGTTGAGTTACAGGATCAATGTATTGTAACATATTATTACAATACATTAAAGGGTAAAAATCACCAAAACACACACAAACACAACCTCCGTATTCCTCCGGACTGCTGCAGTGTGACAAACCAAACAAGTTCACTTTACTTTCGATTCAAATGATTTACCAGTCGGACTGGAATGGTCACATTTATGTAACAGTACATGAACACTTGTGTTGTTCTATTGCTGTGTTGACACTGCCACCTTAGAACCTCTCATTAGGTATGTTAAACAAAACACTTTTAAAAGGGAGATCTCCAGGACCAGGACTTGGCACCCATGGCTTAACAGCATACACTGATCAGGCATAACATTATGACCACCTCCTTGTTTCTATGCTCATTGTCCATTTTATCAGCTCCACTTACCATATAGGTGCACTTTGTAGTTCTACAATTACAGACTGTAGTCCATCTGTTTCTCTGCATACTTTGTTAGCCCCCTTTTACCCTGTTCTTCAGTGGTCAGGACCCCCATGGACCCTCACAGAGCAGGTACTATTTGGGTGGTGGATCATTCTCAGCACTGCAGTAACGCTGATGTTGTGCTGGTCTGAGTGGATCAGACACAGCTGCGCTGCTGTAGTTTTTAAACACCTCAGTGTCACTGCTGGACTGAGAATAGTCCACCAACCAAAAATATCCAGCCAACAGCATCCTGTGGGCAGCGTCCTGTCGTCTCTGACTTTACATCTACAAGGTGGACTGACAAGGTAGGAGTGTCTAATAGAGTGGACAGTGAGTGGACACAGTGTTTAAAAACTCCAGCAGCACTGCTGTGTCTGATCCACTCAGACCAGCACAACACACACTAACTCACCACCACCACGTCAGTGTTACTGCCGTGCTGAGAATGATCCACCCCCCATACAGTACTTGCTCTGTGAGGGTCCATGGAGGTCCTGACCACTGAAGGACAGGGTAAAAAGGGGGCTAACAAAGTATGCAGAGAAACAGATGGACTACAGTCTGTAACTGTAGAACTACAAAGTGCACCTATATAGTAAGTGGAGCTGATAAAATGGACAATGAGTGCAGAAAGAAGGAGGCGGTCATAATGTTATGCCTGATCAGTGTATATTTCAAAAGTTCTTAGATTTCTTGTAACTTTCTGTAATGACCGCAGCCATTATGAACAGTGACAATGATTCAAACATTAAACTGAGAAAGAGCACTTTTCTTGAAAAAAAGAACAAGCAAGCCACTGTACATTATACTTTATTTATTAAACAAGCACAACATGAGTGGACAAGAAGCACAAAGTGATAACACCCCAATTTAGTGCACAATGATGACAACCATATGAGGAGACAGAAAAAGCTGAGAGGGAAGACAAACAGAAAGGAGAAACAATGATGAGAGACTCCAGAGTGACAAAAAAGCTGGAATAGAAAACAGTCAGGTAAAACAGAGGCGACGAGAGAGAAAGAGAGGGACAAAATAAAGGATGAAAGGGAGTGAGGGAGACACTGAAGCAAGCAGACTGAGAGAAGCCTCACCATGTACTGAATGGACAGACTACAAATGCTCTTTAATGTTTACATCTGCAAAAAAGAACAGATTACAGTCGATCCACAATGATTATTTATATCAAAAATATATCAATGGGTCTATGACTACATGAAATAGAGAAAGCACATACAATATCAAATATGTACAGTTTGTATGTGAGTATTCAACAAATTCTTATATACAGAAAGGTTTCTGTCCCAAGAAGAGTCCTAACACTCATCAACACTGACAGAATAGTGTGGCAGTGAACCACGTTTTTCCAAAGATGATTAGGATGCTGGTATCAGCGGGGGGTGTAGTCCAAGTGATAATATCATACAGTCCCATTGTTTAAAAATGTGTGGATGTGCTTACAGAGAGGATCATGCACTCCTAATAGTCACAACCTTCCTGGGAAAAACAAAACAAAACAAAACAAAAAAAAAACAACAACATCATAATGTATATGCATGTGTGTAACAGGTGAGCTACAGTTGCTCCAGGTCAAAACGCCACATCTGAGAACTTCAGCCTGTGTAGACTGTTGAAAAAAGATACACAGATACAATTATACTACTACTACTGCTGCTAATGCTAATAATAATAATAATAATAATAATAATAATGATAATAATAATAATAGCTATAATAATAATAATAACAATAACATAACAATAATGGACCTGTTTAAGGACTGCACTGTCTCTGCACTTTTGAGCCCGTAGTGGGTCCAGACTCTTCACTGTGTCGTTTCCCAGAGGTCTGAGTAGTGCTGGAGTGGAGCCCCCGCCCTAAGAAAGACGACAGGACGCTTTGTTTATACTTTTAATTTAGGACTATACTTTCCTTCCAACCAGATTAGAAACATCCAGGACGATGAATGGCTGTTTGTCACTTTAGACATAATGGCCCTCAGATCGTTTCAGGTCAAATCATTGCAATAATATGTAACATTTGAAATTTAAAACTACAAATCCCATAAGTATTGGGTATTTCTTAGTAACTGGAGATCTTTACCTTGCTGTAGCACAGGACCAGGTATCTGCTGAGCTTCCTGCCTGTAGCACATCATTCCACCACTGCTGCCTGAATAACCTGCACACAAGCAAAAAGGTTCAATCAAGACATGCTAAGAATTCAAAGCACGGTCAGAAAGTTTTTTTTTTCACAATTATGTAAGGAAAAAAAAACATGCAAAAGTTTGTGAACAAAAAACAGCTAATCACTAATACTTTGGATATATTTAGCTCCAGCGCTCATCACAAAGTGTCTGTCTTCCTTTTATGAAAAGCAATTTGCCTAAATAATGGTTTATGAATGTTCTTTTCCAAACTACTGTCTTGTGAAATATTATCACATCAATGCTTTTTCAGAAAATCTAATGTAAACAGCTGAAAGTTGAGTGCTGGTGAGTGCTGACTTAACAAAGGGATGAAATATGTAGGGTTTGTCTTTGTTCCCAAGATAAGTTCTCTGTCCGTTGTTCTTTCAGTTTTGTATTTGTTTCAAAAGTTCGTGTAGATCTTAACAGCTTTCTGTTTAGTAATATGTGGAGTTTTTGCAAACCAGCAAAGAAAACATGCCCAGTTGCATTAAAACATTCTGAATAGCCAGGTGTGACCTATATAAATATGGACCATACAACACAATAAGTTCAAACTGTGGTTCCACAGTAAAAAAAAACATAAAAAAAAAATAAATTATGTATTTACAAAGCTTACATCATAATCTATTGAACCCTAAGGCATTATCTGAAATAGCAATAAGCTAAATATTTACAAAACCATCATTTATAGGGTACTTTCTGTCAGGTGTCTGTCCCAAACTCTAACCCCTAAATTTACAAAAATAATACTAACTTATTAAAGTGTTGTTTTTCAAAAAAGATCTTTTAGATTTCTTTTAAAGTGAAGTTGAATGATTCTATTTATCTATCTATCTATTTATCAAGAGTTTCATTTTAAATTAAAAATAAAACCTGTCCCTCAAGGCCATGTGGTGTGTATAAAGTAAGTGTGTCCCAAAGTCTGAAAATTAGGGTGTAACGTCAGAAATTGTCACTATTGAAAAACATCTTCTGCAATTAAGTAAACTTTTTTGTGTTTGAATGGAAAAAAAAAACTGTGTGTATAAGTGTTCAAAGTTGTGTTTGCTAGCTATATACTGGCTAGTGTTTTTTGAGTTCTGCTCAAAATTAGTTAAAATGTCATTACTGAAAAAGTCATTACCAAAACATTTGGTGAAGTTTCAGACGTATGCATTGAAACTTTACATTAAATTGACAAAATGGAATGTTTAATCAATTATTTTGATAAAATAATAAGGTAAGGTATGGAGTCACTCAAAGCAAAAGGATTTTAGTACAAAGTCCAAGTCAGTTAAACGTTTTCAACTTGAAAACTTGAATCATCTTTTTATTATTTTTTTTCTTCCATTCTCCTGTGAACTTACTTTTCTGGACATACAAGGTTTTGTTATGACAGTGACAATATATATGTTTATGTGTGTGTACCTTGTTGTTGTGTGCTGCTGCTGGGTTGTGTGTCTGCTTGGGGGTACACCATCATCCCACTGCGCCACTCCCCTTGAGGATTTGCAGCCATTTGGTATCCTACAGTAAAAGCAAGAAGGCCTTATTACCACACAACTGAGTTCTAATCTAAGATACATGTTCATATGGGTTACTGTGTAGGCGACTTTGGTTAAACAAAACAAGTGATCCAAGAATCTATTTGCTTCATACAGCCCAAAACCTGCAGAGCCTGTTCTTAGTTCCAGAGAAATAATGTCTGCGACTTAGAGAAAGAAAATGTTGCATTGTCTTTCTCTGGCTGATAAACATACTGCTCTCAGGTGACTTACTTAACTGATAATCACGTAGTTTAAGTTTTTTTGTAGACCTACAACAAGAAATGCATGCTGAGTTTAAAAGTCTCTGCAGTGTATCTTTGTCCAGATGTGGTTGGACTGGGTGAATGTGATGTTGCCTGTGCGCAGTTGTGTTTAGGCACATCAGCCAGAGAGCTCCGGATCTTCTTTAGTATTAGTGCCTTTTAAATGTTAAAGGACCTGGTGCTCTTTTAATCAAAAATGCTAGTCTTAGTGAAGAGAGACAGCAGAGCCCAGTTAACTTATGAAATCAAATTCATGCTAGCTGGCTCATGTAAGCACACATTTACTATCAGCTGCAATGTTTTCGGTGAACTATTTGAGAGATATTACCTGAAGATGCACAAGCCTCCTGGGTGGTCTCTGAAGGCGGGAGACCCATCATGCTCGTGGAGTTTTCCCCATTTCCGTTCGGGTTGGAGGGCACCGTCGCCAGCAAACCTGAGAATGTCAAGCCTCAGTTATAACTTTTTGGCTAAATTTCATTAATTCATTACTTATTTATAGTTAGCAGTTTTTCTTTTCTTTTTTTTGTATTTTACTTTATTCCCCACCCCCATATTCTGTACTTTACTATTTGATTGTCCTGCATTTTGTTTGTTTTTAAATCATTCTGTAAAGCATTTTGCAAACTTAAAAAAAAAGTGCAATCTAAATAAAAAATATTACTATTATTATTACCAACAAGCTACTAACACAACTGTTCTGTTCTCTTTTTTCTGCTTAATTTTTTTTTTTACTAACTTTTATGTTTTTAATTACTCTAATACTAACTCTGCATTTCTTGTCTTACACAAATCCATAGGTAAATCACCCTGACACACCAAAGTTTTTTTTTTTGCTAAAGGTTATTTCATAATGATGGAGACATTGTTTTAATTTCATTTTTGCTTTTAGTTGACATTCCTGAACTCAAACCTTGTTAGATAGTACACTGATAG